GCGAGTTGACTTTTGAGTCGACTCAGAAGTCCACTCTCCGGCTACTCTGACCACGCCTACATAGCCCAGCTCTTCCCCTCGACGCCGAGGCCAGCAAGGCTGCCTTCAACTCCCTCGGAAAGAGGTTCAAGGTGAGAGAGAGAGAGAGAGATGAGATGAGGAGATGAGCCCAGGGGGGTTTGGAAAGGGGCATGGGGCACAGGTGGAGAGGTCCTGCATGTGTGCTCGTTCTCAGCACAGTCTCCCTTAGACTTTTCCCTCCCGTCAGCCGCTTGCTCGTCCAGTGTTCAAAATGCATCTTCTCATCATCTCACCCGTATCCGCCGCCCACAGGAGCAACTGGCAGCGCTGATGCGCACACTCAACAGCACAGCACCGCACTACATCTGCTGGTAACCTGCCTGTTTTCTCAAGTGACATCTTCCCATCCCATCTCCTCACCCCGCCCCGCCCACAGGAGCAACTGGCAGCGTTGATGCGCACGCTCAACAGCACAGCACCGCACTACATCCGGTGTGTGAAGCCCAATAGCACACTCAAGCCGGGAGTCTTCACACGCACTCTGGTCATGGAGCAGCTGCGATCTGGGGTGAGTCGGGAGTGAGTCATGGGCGTGTGTGTGCAATAGCAGGGGGGAGATCACAGAGTGGGTAGCAGGAAGAGAGTTGACGAGCCTCGGATCTATTGATCCACCCTTGTTATGGAACAGCAGCAGTGAGGGTGAGACCCAATTGTGCACTCAAGCCAGGATTCTTCACTCTCACACCCGTCATGGAGCAGCTGCGATCGGGGGTGAGTCACAGGCGCATGTGTGCGTGCGTGTGTGCGTGCGTGTGTGTGTGCGTGCGTGTATGCGTGTGTGTCTATGTGTGTGTGTGCGTGTGTGTGCGTGCGTGCGTGCGTGCGTGCGTGCGTGTGTGTGTGTGTGTGTGTGTGTGTGTGTGTGTCTATGTGTGTGCGTGTGCGGGTAGTGGCCACTGCTGGGGTAGAGGAAGAGGGGGGAGGGAACAGGAGGAAAATGGTAGAGGTGTTTCAGGGTTGAAAGGCACTCACGGCAGAGCCTTGCAAAGGAATTTGGAACAGAAAAGGTGCGAGACAGGTGAGAGAATAGCGTGAGTTATGCTTGGGTAACAGTGCACGCAGTGGGTGGGTGGGTGGGTGGGCAACCCTCTCTCAACCATATTTTGCCAGTCCTTGCTAGTTCCTCTTCCTTCTTGCCCCGTCGTCTCTCTCCGTTCCTTCCCCTCCCTACCCCTCCCGCCCAATCTCTCTAATTCCCCCCACCAGAGAGCTTTGGAGGCATGAGTGTGCTCCATTCCATGGGCTACTCCTTGGTGCACCACCACACCACCTTTACACCCTACCCGCATTCCAATGTCCTGTCGAATGCTTGCTTTCCCTTAACCCCATCCTTTGCTCTTCCCAGGGTGTGCTGGAGGCAGTGCGAGTGTGCTCCAAGGGCTACCCCACGCGGCGCTCCTTTGAGGACTTTATTGACAGATTCGCCTTCCTCGTGCCCTCCGAACTCTACGACGAGTCAGTGCCTCTTCCCCGCCTGCTTGCCTGCCCGCCTGCGCACCCGCCCACCCAGCCTCCCTGCCTGCCCACCCGCCCGCCCACCCAGGCTGCCTGCCTGCCTCCCTGCATGTCTGCATGCCCGCCTTCCCGCCCGCCCATCTGCCTGACCTGAACACAACAACACCCAACACCTACATCGGTTCTACTCTTTTCTATCTTACTAGTTCATCAAACCACTGGTTCGTTCTCGATGCTCCCCACAGCAGCACCTGATCATGCCTCTTCATCTCCAGTCCGTCCCCCTGCTCAGCTGCCACGTTCTTCCCTCTCCGCCCGGCAAACAAACTCGGATACATGAATCGTTTTGTCACTTTGACTCTTCCCTTTTCCATTGAAAAACGTAAACACACCATGAACGTCACGCCCTGACTGACCCGACACCGTCCACCAGAACCAGCCAGCAACCTTGACCCACTTGCTCCTTGCTGGTCACCCTCCTCATTTCCTACTGCCCACGTGGTCCCACTGGCTGTGCACATGGACGGCAGGGCGGAGGATGGTGAGCTGGTGCGGGCAATAAATGTTTAGACATCTCACATCACCCGTTCATCCTGTTTGCTTCTTGGTGTTGCTCACCCACGTGCTTGCTTCCTGCTGCCCCACGTGGTGCCACTGGTTGTGCACATGGATGGCAGGGCCGAGGATGATGAGCTGGTGCGGGCGATCATGAAGGAGGCTGGCATTCAAGGATACCAGGCACGTGATACTTCAGGCAAACATGCATGCGCATATGTGCACACACATGCGAGCGTGCATGCACACATGCACATGCTTGGACACACATGCATGCTTCCACACATGTGCATGCATCATGCTTGTAAATTAGAATGCACACATGGATGCATGCGCTCGCATGCCAAGATTTGCACAATTTATGTATGGGTGTGTGTGTGTACATTCAGAGCGCACACCTCTACATGCATGCATGCATGTACACGCAATCTATCCTGCACACGCCCCGCTACCCTCATGTACAGATGATGGTTCTTGTTGAAAAAAAAGAAAGAAAGAAAAAACATATATATCTACCCCCCCCACCCCCCTTCCCCCCCCTCTACCCCCCCTCACATCCCCTCACATCCCCTCTCCCCCTCCTCTTCCCCCCTGCACACGCTCAGATCGGGTTGACCAAGGTGTATTTGAGGGTGGGGCAGATGGTGGTGCTGTTCGACGTCTCACCAATCAAATCACACCCCCTCCTCCCTCCACCCCACTCCCCTCCTTCCCCCCCCCCTGCACACGCTCAGATCGGGCTGACCAAGGTGTTTCTGAGGGCGGGGCAGATGGTGGTGCTGGAGACGATGCGGCTGAACCGCATGGCGGAGGCGGCGCGCACCATTCAGAAGTACTTCCGGGCCTACCTCTTCCGCCTGCACCGCAAGCAGGCTGCACTCACCATCCAGAATTACTGGCGAGGTGCGGCTGTGTGTGCGTGCTTGCTTGCCTGCCTGTTCACTGCATTTTTAGTCGACTCAGAAGCTTTTCTCTTCCGCCTGCACCACAAGCAGGCCGCCCTCACCATCCAGAACTACTGGCGAGGTGGGCTGTGCGTGCTTGCTTGCGTGCTTGCCTGCTTGCCTGCTTGCCTGCTCGCTGCGTTGCACTCTCGTGACGCTGTCACGTCTATGGGATGTGTTATGTCGTGCTGTGGTGCCTGCCGTGTTTTGTTTTGTGACATGACATGCCGTGGAGTTTTGTGCATGTTTTATGGCATGCCACACGTGCTGCGTCTTGCCATGCCATACTGTGCTGAGACATGCAAGCTTTTCAAGTATGTTCTCCCTGTCATCTAACCAATCTCCATCCATCATGCCATCGACACCCATCGAATCCTCACCACCCATCTACCTGTCCTTGTTTCACCACCCACCTTGCTGTAAGGTGAAAAGGATCCCGTCTCTTGTATGCTTTAATCCCCACCTCGCTCATGTCTTGCCTGCTCGTGCTCCCTCTCGCCCATGCTCCACTCCACTCCCCCTTGCCCATGCTCCACTCCACTCCCCCTTGCCCACACCCCAGGCTACAAGGCGCGGGAACAGCTGCAGGAGCTGCGGGAGTTTAAGGCAGCACAGACGACTCAGAAGCACACACGCCCCCTTGCTCATCCCCATATGCCCCAGGCTTCAAGGCGCGGGAACAACTGCGAGTGTTGCGGGAGTTCAAGGCAGCACAGACGATTCAGAAGTACACGCGGCGATGGATGCACCGGCGCCGCTTCCTGGACATGCGCGAGGCGCAGATCCGCATTGCTGCCCACGTGCGCATGCACCAGGCGCGCACCCACTACATCTTCACCCGCCGCACGCTCGCCGCCACCAAGATTCAGGTGCGCTCTTTTTTAAGGTGCCTTGCCTTTGAGGGGACACAAGAACTGCACGCGCTACACTGTAGCCTGCATGCAGCCTCACTGGTTGAGACACAATGGTTGACTTTTGCGCTTTATTTTCCTATTCGATTCCCCCCTCCACTCACCACACCACAGGCCACATGGCGAGGGTACAACCTGCGGAAGCCGTACTGGGCACTGCGGCGGCGGCTGCAAGTGCGGCTGGGGCAGAGGCGACTGACCAGGATGAAGGAGGTGAGAGTGGGGGAGGGACGCTTGTTGTGGGGGAAGGGTGGAAACTTTTGAATCGACTCACAAGCGCGGCTGGGGCAGAGGCGGCTGACGAGGATGAAGGAGGTGAGAGTGGGAGGGGCGCTTGCGGTGGGGGGTGGGTGGGGACTTTTGAGTCGACTCACAAGTGCGGCTGGGGCAGAGGCGGCTGACCAGGATGAAGGAGGTGAGAGTGGGACGGGCGCTTGTTGTGGGGGAAGGGAGGAAGGGAGGGTAGATGGTTCGTGGAAGGTGAGGCCAGTGCTGCTGCTGCAACAGGTCGCAGACACAGAGGGGTGTGTTACAGTCACAAGGTTGTGGAGGGGTGTGTTACAGTCACAAGGTTGTGGAGGGGTGTGTTACAGTCACAAGGTTGTGGAGGGGTGTGTTACAGTCACAAGGTTATGGAGGGGTGTGTTACAGTCACAAGGTTATGGAGGGGTGTGTTACAGTCACAAGGTTGTGGAGGGGTGTGTTACAGTCACAAGGTTATGGAGGGGTGTGTTACAGTCACAAGGTTATGGAGGGGTGTGTTACAGTCACAAGGTTGTGGAGGGGTGTGTTACAGTCACAAGGTTGTGGAGGGGTGTGTTACAGTCACAAGGTTATGGAGGGGTGTGTTACAGTCACAAGGTTATGGAGGGGTGTGTTACAGTCACAAGGTTGTGGAGGGGTGTGTTACAGTCACAAGGTTGTGGAGGGGTGTGTTACAGTCACAAGGTTGTGGAGGGGTGTGTTACAGTCACAAGGTTGTGGAGGGGTGTGTTACAGTCACAAGGTTGTGGAGGGGTGTGTTACAGTCACAAGGTTGTGGAGGGGTGTGTTACAGTCACAAGGTTATGGAGGGGTGTGTTACAGTCACAAGGTTATGGAGGGGTGTGTTACAGTCACAAGGTTGTGGAGGGGTGTGTTACAGTCACAAGGTTGTGGAGGGGTGTGTTACAGTCACAAGGTTGTGGAGGGGTGTGTTACAGTCACAAGGTTGTGGAGGGGTGTGTTACAGTCACAAGGTTATGGAGGGGTGTGTCCTTGTTGTCATGCGGGGAGGGGCTTGCATGCAGTGAGTGGGTGGGACGCTGGTGCCGTGAAAGAGGAGACACATGATACATTCGCATGATGAACCAGAGTGGGTGGGCCTGTTCATAGTACTACTCTGCCACCAACGTGCATCATAGAGTCATAGTGCTCGATCACTCGCATCAAATCAAACTACGACTCCTGTCTCCACCCCGCCCCACCCCACCATCTCCATCCCCCTCACCTCTCTGCTGTGTGGCAGGCGGCAGCAAGGGCGGCACTGCTGGCGCCCCCGCGCACCAAGGTGGAGGCTTCCCTGGAGCAGCTGCGCCTCAAAGTGCTGCGCTTGATGAAGGTACGCATGCCTGCTGCTCTACTGCTTTCCTCCACGACCCTTACTCCCTCACGACCCTTACTCCCTCAGGACCCTTACTGCTGCCTTGGGGCCTCAACCAAGCACACATGCATGTCAAAGCCATCTCAATTTTCTTCCTTTCCATCCCTCTCTTCAGATCCTTTCTTGAGTCCCCCCACAATTCTCCCAAGCCTCACGCCTCCTCCAATCCCCTCTTCTAACCCGCACAGCCCCCCTCCTCTCTTCTCCTTCCCCCCCTCTCCCTCCTCTCTCTTCCCCACGACCCCCCATCCCGCGCACACGCTTCCTCCATCAGACCAAGAAGGAGAAGAAGCGGAAGGAGCTACAGGAGCAGTTAGACATCGCCCTGAAGGAGGTAGAAGCCAAGGCCAAGGAGAATGTTCAGCTCACTCAACGCCTAATTTCTTTGTCGACTAAAAAACCCACACCGCCCATCCCACACACACTCCCCCCATCCTGCAGACCAAGGAGGAGAAGAAGCGGAAGGAGCTGCAGGAGCAGCTGGACATCGCCCTAAAGGAGGTAGAAGCCAAGGCCAAGGAGAACGCGCAGCTCACCCAACGCCTCAAGGAGGAAACAGCCCGCGCACACCGCGCAGAGGAGGAGCTCCGATCTCTCATCGGCCACCCCGACTACCCCGCTGCTGCTGGCGGTGCCGGTGGTGGTGGTGGTGGTGGCGCCGCCTCCCACCACCACCAGTCCGGCCTGCCGCATGCGCTTTCGAGAGGCGGGGTTATGCACTCGCCCGGTGTTGGGCGCCGGTTTGCCAAGGGCGCGTCTCTTGAGGCGGAGAGGGCTGGTGGGAGGGACGGGAGGGGCGTGTGGGGAGCGGATGTTGCTGCGGCGGCCGCGGCTTCGATTGCCGGGGTGGAGGAGGGGGGAGCGAGAGGGGAAGGGAGCGGATCGGACCTGGAAATATCAACAACTCGGGCTTCAGGACTGGGGTTTGCTGCTAGGATGAGGTCGCCGCGAGTGGGCGGCTTTGATATGCCGGGATTCGGGGGGTCTGCGAGCGTGGGAGGAGCGGAGGGGAGGGGGCCGGTACAACGGTCGAAAGCGTGGGCGAGAGTGAAGGCACGGAAGGGCGAGGTGCTGCAGATGAGTGATGACCCTGACATGGCGACCGCTGCTGCGGTTTCCTCTGCTATGGGTGCTCCGAACGCGGCGTGGGGCAAGATGTTTATCCAGATCGCGCGGCTGAATGAGGAGTTGGAGAAGCTAAAGGAGGAGAAGGCGGGGGTGGAGGAGAAGGTGAAGGAGGAGCGGCTGCGGATGGAGGGGATGGAGCGGAAGGTGGAGGCGTATGAGGGCACGCTGCAGTCCCAGGAGAGCCTGATTAAGGAGATGCAGGGGAAGATGAAAGAGCTGCAGGAGAAGCTGAAGAAGTGAGGCCGGGGCGGGGAGGGAGGGCAGGGGGGATGGGAGGGAGGAGGGAGGGGAGGGAGGAGGGAGGGGAGGGAGGGGGGAGGGGAGGGAGGAGGGAGGGCAGGGAGGGGGGAGGGGAGGGGATTTGAATGGGTGTGTTGGGTGGGTGGAGTGAAGAGGGGGGAGGGAATGGAAGGGTGGTGAGACAGGACAGGTGGAGTGAGCTGTTGTGTGAAGAGACGGGTACAGGGAGGGGTTTTGGTCAAGGATTGGAAGGTTGTTATCGTTTGCTTTACAACCAATGTCGATTCTCCGTCAAAAACCTTGGTACCCACCCAACCACCAACGCACCCACCCACCCACCCACCAACCTGTACCCAGGACAGCCATACCACACCACACCATCTTTCATGTGTTTTGCACCGCGTCCCTCCCACCATCATTCTCACATGTCCCTCTCTTCCAACCCAACCCAACCCATCCCAACCCAAACCGACCCTCCCAGCAAGGACGAGGAGGTGCGGGAGCTTTCCTGGAAGCTTCTCGACGAAAGCATCGAAGGGAGGAGCGGGGGTGGGGGGCAGCAAGGGCTGGGAGGAGGAGGCGAGGCAGGGGCAGCAGGAGGGGAGGAGGAGGTATTGAGCCGGCCAATTGCAGGAGGGGGCCTGCAGATCGCTGTACCTTCATCGCCTCGCATCTCACTCCCACCCATGTCCTCCCATGGGCCTCCAGTGTCGCCCAACAAGCTTAAAGCCCAGCTTGAGGTGGGGCTTGGGTGGGGTGGGGCGGGGTGGGAGGGGTGGCGTGGGTGGATGGGTGGGTGGTGGTGGTGGTGGTGGTGGAGGTGGAGGTGGTGGGAGCATGGCAGAATGGTAAAAATAGGCATACTTTCCCTAAACAGACACCAGCCCTGCTAATCTCCCCATCTCACTCGCAAGACTTTTTGCCTGTTCACGCTGCTGACAACCAACATGTACGGTTTCTTACAGCATGCCTATTCTATTTCTTCCCTCCCCCTTAACCCTCCACTTCCCAAACCTCCCCATCCCCTCCCCCATCCTTCCCTCTTCCCCTTCCCCATGCCCTCTCCCCTTCCTTCCCCATCCCTCCCCCAACCCACCTCAGGACTGGCTGCTGACACTGGCGACCACCGACATATGTATGGCTTCTCAGACACGGCTAGTAGGCAACCCCATCGTTCATTCATACGCATCTCCCGTGCACTCCCTTTCTATCCCCCATCCCCCCCCTCAGAACCGGCTGCTAGCACTGGCAACAACCAACATGTATGGCTTCCAAGAGCATGGCTACCCCGTCGCCTGCATAAATGCAATCTCCCTTATGCCCCTCTTGCCCTCCTCCCCTCCTCTCCCCTTCCCCCTTCCCTGCGCATCCTCGCCTGCCTCCCTTTCCCCGTCCCCCACCCACCTCAGGACCGGCTGCTGACGCTGGCAACGACCAACATGAACGGCTTCTCAGAGCACGGCCACCCCATCGTTCGTACATACGCAATCTCCCTTGCACCCTCCTTCCTTCCCTGCTCCCTCCCTTCCCTTCCCCCCTTCTCTATCCCAAACCCCCCACTCCCCACCCGCTCAGGACCGGCTGCTGACGCTGGCAACGACCAACATGTACGGCTTCTCAGAGCACGGGCACCCCATCGCCATGTGCACACTCTACAAGGCACTGGACCACTGGAAGACCTTCGAGGCCGCGCGCACCAACACGTTCGACCGCATTATAGAGGCTCTGCAGCTCGCCACGCACACTGGGAGTTTGCAGATGCTGGGTTACTGGCTGAGCAACACGGCTACTCTGCTGTGCCTGCTTGAGACGACGCATACGAAGCGCGTGCAGCTTCGGCAGCAGAGCGGCGGCGGCAGCGGGTGGTTCGCGTGGGGCGGCGAAGGGGTGAGTGGGGTGGGAGGAGGGGAGTGTGGGTGGGGCATCGGGGTGAGTGTGGGGGGTCGGAGGGTGGCAGTTGAGCGAGGGAAGGAGGGGGAGTTTGAGGAAGTTCGAGCTGAGAATCCGAATGATGGGTTAAAGGGAGTACAGGATTCGGATCCGGATTTTACCATGTTGTGCTGATGGTCTGCTCATTATGGGGGGCGGGGTGAGAGGGATACTGGGGTGCTGGCAGGGAGGAGGGGAAGGGATGAGCATGGATGGGAGGCAGGGGTGGACCCACTCGCCTCTTCCCAACCTCCTCTCCCCCTCACAATGTTCACCTCCAGGCGGCCTCGTCGGACAGCAAGTCAGCGGTGGATCTGACGCTGTTCAAGACGCAGCTGCGGCTGGCAAGGGAGCGTGTCTCACGGCCTTTTTCAAACCAATTGCCCCTCCTTCCTCCCTTCTCCCTCGCCTCCTCTCATTCTCCCCAGGCGGCCTCGTCAGACAGCAAGTCAGCAGTGGATCTGACGCTGTTCAAGACGCAGCTGCGGCTGGCAACGGAGCGCATCTATGTGACGGTGCGCGACTCCATCAACAACGAGCTGCAGGGCCACTTCGGCAGCGGCCACCTCGTCGGCCAGGTGGGGTCCGGTTGGGTTGGGTTGGGTGTGGCTATTGAGGCTGCTGGGGCGTGTGGGGGAGGTGACTGGGTAGGCTGCTGCTTCTGGCGCTGCTGGTGCATGGCATGGGCTGGTCGGGCTGATGGTCGGTCAGAGGGGACAGGTGGGTTGCTGGGGCTGGATGGTTACACACAAAGGGGGGCGCACAATGGGGTTGCTTTCTTGAGGTTTCCCCTGGGACAGGTGTTATGAGAGAAACGGGATTTTTGAGATGCCAAAAATGCAGCCTCCCTTCCCCACCCCTCTCCCTTACTCACCCCTACTCCCCCTCCCACCTTTCCCCCACCCCTCTCTCCCCTCCCCACCAGACCCCCCGCAAAGCCTCAGCCACGCCAACCCCGCGATCCCGCCGCTCCCGTGGCGGCTCCTCAGGGGGCGACCGGTCGTCCCTGCCACGCTCGGCAGGCAGCATGCGGCGGCAGATGCTGGACTACTGGGGGAACGTGCTGGAGACCGTGGGCCACATGGTGGCTGCCCTGGAGGATAACCACGTGCCGGTGTTTCTGATTCAGCATGTTCTCAGGCAGCTGCTGTCTTATGTTGACCTTCGGGTGTTCAACAGGTGAGGAGAATGGGGGGGAGGTGGGGAGACGGGGAGGGGGGAAGGTAGGGGTGGAAGGGGGGTCGTGCTGGGGGGAAATGGTGTTGCGTGTGTGAGGGGGAAATGGTTTTGAAAGTGACAAAGCATGCCTACAACAAGAGGGCCACATGGTGGCTGCCCTGGAGGATAACCACGTGCCGGTGTTCCTCATTCAGCACGTGCTCAGGCAGCTGCTGTCTTATGTGGACCCGCAGGTGTTCAACAGGTGAGGAGCGGGATGGGGGAAGTGGGTAGAGAGTTGGGGGACAGGGGGGTGTGAGCGGAGGGGATTGGCCACGTGACTGTGTTCCCCACCCACCATGAGACGAGGTGGGCTAAGGGTGTTCAACAGGTGACCATGAGCCGGATGGACGATATGGGGATGGTTTGTGGCATGAAAGAGCGGATGAGGACCCACACACATTCCCCTCTCCTTCATCCCTTTACTGCTCTTGCCACACCCATTCCCATCCCATTCTCACACCCATCCCCCTCCCCACTCTCATTGCAGCCTCATGGTGCGCAGCCAGTGGTGCCCGTGCAACTTCAGCAATGGGGAGACCACAGAGGAGGGCATGGGCTCCCTTGAATCCCTTTCCCTCCCCTCCCTCCCTCTACTGCACTTGCCACACCCCTCACCCCCTTCCCCTTCTTTGCAGCCTCATGGTGCGCAGCCAGTGGTGCCCGTGCAACTTCAGCAACGGGGAGACGATAGAGGAGGGCATGGGAAAGCTGGACCGATGGCTCACAGACCTCGAGATGAGCCACGCCAAGCGCGCTCAGGGGGAGCTGCCAGGTCTCAAGGACAGCCTGTGCCATGTCCGGCAGGCCGCACTGCTGCTGGTAAGGCCGTGCGCTTTCCTTTGCATCCTCTTCCGATACCTTCCAAGTGTTCCTCAAGAGCGGTACACACGCATGACCTTGCTGCACTCTGGACCAGATGATAAGGAACAAGCACAGGCTGACAGTGGACGGCGTGAGACGAGTTTTGAGTCGACTCCAAGGGCTCCGTCCGTCCCACCTTCTGCCCTTCCCAAAACCGTCCCCTTCCCAAAACCGTCCCCTTCCCCCTCCCTCCTTCCCCAGGCGATGAAAAACAAGCACAGGTTGATGGTGGAGCACGTGTGGTAACTTTTGAGGGGACTCACACACCCTACCTCTCCTCTCCTCACTCCCTCTCTGTCAATCTCTCCCAACTGCCCCCTTCTCTCCCTTCCTTCCCCCACTCCAGACGATGAAGAACAAGCACACAGCAACAGTAGACGGCGTGAGGAAGCTGTGCCCGGACCTGAACGGCAAGCAGCTGGGCAAGATCTGCCTCTGGTACCAGGACGAGAAGTACGGCACCCTGGGCTTCGACCCCGATGTGAACTACGAACTCAGTGATTTGGCGGACGATGACGATGCTGAGATGCTCAAGGACGATGAGAGGTGAGAGAGAGTGGGGAGGGGAAGCGGTGCCAGGGGTGTGGGAGGGGTGGGGGGGTTGAGGGTGCCGGGGAGGGGAGCTCAGCGACCTGGCGGATGATGACAGTGCTGAGATGCTCAAGGACGATGAGAGGTGAGAGAGAGGCGCGTGAGAAGGAATGCAGGGGGCGCATGGGGTTTTGCATGCAAGCCTGCCAGCCATGTGTGCTTGTGCATGTGGGCTTGACCCCGACGTGAACTACGAGCTCAGTGACCTGGCGGATGATGATAATGATGCTGAGATGCTCAAGACGATGAGAGGTGAGAGTGAGGGAGGGGTGTGGGGGCGGGAGTGGTGGGGTAAGGGAGTGGGAGAGGGGAGCCGTGCAGCCGGGCAAATTCCGCCAACAATCCAGGCCACATGCTCATTCCCACTCACCCCACCCACCACCGCTCGCCCCTCCTCCCCCGAGTGTGCCCTTTGCTATCACGGACCTAGTAGCATCTATGGGAGAGATTAGAGATTACCCAGTCAACATGCTCGTTCTCACTACCACGAACTCTCCCTCTCTGCACCCCAGTGTGCCCTTCGCCATCACGGACCTGGTAGCATCCATGGGCGAGATCAACCTGGACGAGGTGCCTCTGCCTCCGGAGCTACGTCGCGACCCGCACTTTCGCTTCCTGCAGCCCACTCCTGCCAACGAGCCCCAGCAGCCGCCCAAAGTCCCCGCCACTAAGAGCGCCACGCTCCCCACGCCCACCAGAAGCTTCTGGGGCTGATTTGACTCGATTTAATGTCAGGAGTCCAGTTAGGTGCGGCTGTGGAGGGCATAGGCCTTAGGAGCTTCAGCTTCAGCAAGCCAACGGTTGCTTTTTCTGGATGCACCTGGGAGAGGCAAGGGAGGAAATTTGGTATGAGGAGAGACGAGGGACTGTTGCATATGTGCGTGGGCCCCAGAAGGGGCGATACCGTAGGCTTTGGAAAGTGCCTGCCGCAATCCGGTTAGATTTGATGTATGATTATCAAGTTCCTCTTCTCGCTCTTTGCTACCGCTCCAACCTGTGATTTCACGAGGCATCTGTGTTCTCTCAGTCACCATCTGCATGTCGCTTGCTCCCATTCCAATTGTACTAGTACTAGGTAGCGATAGTGCCGCTGTTGCTTGTATAGTCAGCTGACCAACCAACTGTAGGCAGCACGGAGGTGCTCAGTGCACTTGTTAGGATCGATACTAAACTGCCTGCCTTACTCTTTGTGTGTATGCTGCTTCACAAAGCGAAACAACAGTATACCACGAAGGACTAAAAATTGATGTATCAAATAACAGTAGTGGTCCTCTCCACATTATTGTGAATTTGATAGAAAACAGTGAAGCAGTTTATGGTGGTCGCTAAAGACGCAGCACATCCCAGTTTACAATGCAGGCTGACTACTGAAAATGCTAACATAAAGAAAATCAAAGTGTATTTCTTTTCTCAGGTGTAATGCAGTGCAATCTGAGACTTCTCTACAGAACAGAAGACACCGCTTGTCACAGCGGCTCCACCCCGATCTCATCTGCCAGAAAGTGCCTCCTCTTAGTGGCCTCCACGTGTGAAAGCGCGAGCATGCGCTGGCGGAACCCAACGTTCCACCCCTCGTGGCATTGGGCCAGCAATGCTGCACGCTGGCTTCAGCCCATCAGAGGCCGTGACTTTGCTGACTTGTCCATGTTGGTAAATTCCCCGAAGCGCTGATCAGCTGCAAGTTCAATCTGCTACAGAATTAGCTGGAGGCTCGGCCGTTGTGAAACCGTCGCTGAGCTTGACGTTCGCCTTGCTCTGGCTCCGCCGAACCATAATCAAGGCTCTGTCGAGCCAGCTTAGAGGCTTTGAACGCGCGCTGCTCTGGCTCGGCTGCACTAGACACAGAACTTGGTAGGTCTGGTTCGGGTTCGGGGGCCAAGCGTTCTGGGGGGATTTGACCCAGGTTTGAGTGCGCGCAGGAGGGCGCATGCGCTGAAACAAAGAACACTGTAGTAGATTCGTGCAGAGAAGAGAAATAGTGCGGCTCTTCTGTGATTCGTGAGACTCGCTGTGAGGCAGAACAAGTCGGTGCAGCGCAGGCGGCAAGAAAACAAGTCGGCTGCCGATGGGGGGTGTCACTTGGAAGGAAGCCATAACTCCAGCCCACACTAGCTTTATCATCCAAAAACAAGCACAACCGATCTCGTCGACTGCGCAAGCCAAGTGAAAGATTCAAGGATTCCGAGTGAAGCGTCGAATTCATGCGAAAATGCCGCCGTGCCACGCGCTATCTGTGTCCGACGCCTTAGCAGAAAGCACACCCTTGCCACCTAATACTGCTGGCTCTCCTCGCGCTAGTAGTCCGCGCGGTACCAGCTTCTCCGCCACTCCGTACAAGACGCCGTTTCGCCTCCCCGCGTCGTCGAGCATCGTTCAAGATGCCGTCGCCATGCACCACGCCGCGTACGGCTGGACGGACGACTCTGCCGCGAATCACGGCGAATCCAGCGGCGGCGGCGCGGGTGCGGGAGGAGCGGCGGAGAAAAGAGCCCGGGGGAGCGGCGGGTTTGGTAGCAGCACCGCGCTTGAACTGACCCCGCCATCGTCGCCGTCCAGTGCGGCGGCAGATGCGCACTCACTCGCTGACAGCCTCCGCGACCTAGCTTCTAATACTCAAAATGTCACTACCGACGTTGCTGTTTCTACTGCGGGTGTTTGTGGTGAATCTGACGCTGACGCTGATGCTGATGCTGGTGTTAGAGCCGCCACGAATCCGAATCAGACCAGCGTTAATGGCGGGCGACACGAAGAGTCCTCGCAGCAGCACGAGGGCACGGAGCACGAAAGGTAACCACGGGGACGAGAAGCAATGTTGGGCTGATGCCTCGATTGTGCCTTGTAAGAGTGGCGGCGATAGCAGGCAGCGGAGCGGAGATCAGTGGGAGACAGAGTGAGCACAACTTGCATTAGCTCAGTAGCTTATTGGTGCGGAGATCAGCGGCTAGGAGGCAGTAATCAGCGTCCCGCCCTCATTCCTCCCTCCACGCAACACCCCCGCCGTCTCTTCACCCAACCCTCTCCCCCCCCTCCCTCCTCTCTCTCTGCCCTCCCGCTCCCTTTCTTCTTTCTCCCCTCGCCCTCCCTCTTCTCTCTCTCCCCTCACTCTCCCTCTTCTCTCTCTCCCCTCGCTCTCCCTCCCTCCCTGTGACTCCGACTTGCCCCCCCGTCTCGCCGCTCCTCGCTTCCGCACGGCATTAGTGAATGCGGGGCCGCTTAAGACTCCGCTAAACCGCTGGCTCCCTGGCTCTCGTTTCGGATTCACATGGATACCTCTCGTCCGTTAATCTTCATCCACCCTCTTTGCTTATCCCGCCCTCGTCCCGCGAACTTCCCTTCCCCCTTTTTCCCCTCCCTCCTGTCCCCCGACTCGTCCCCCTCTCAGCCCCGCGCGCCAGTTTGTCCGCGACCTTGCGCTTGTCCGCGCGCTCATCCTTGCGGACGCATGCACTGTGGCGGAAGCGAGTCGGCGAATGGCAGCCCGCCACGTGGACGCGTGTCTGCTGACGGACGCCAAAAGCGGCATGCTGTGCGGTATACAGACGGACCGTGACGTGGCGGAGCGGTGCGTGGGGGAAGGGCGCTCCCCGCAATCCACCCCGTGCCACGCGGTCATGACGCGCGATCCGCAATTCGTATCGCTGCACGCGCCTGCTGCTGTCGCGCTGAAGAAAATGGTCAACGGTAAGGAGCAAGAGGCAAGGCGCAAGCCGCAATGGCGCAACGCTGCAATCCCGCAAAGCTCAAGGGGCAACGGCGCGCGGGATGTTGGGTGCAATCGCTACCTGTTTCCGCTTAGGCGGAATTCCGTAGCATCAGCCTCCCCTTCATCCGCACTCTTTTCACAGTTCCCGCCTTCACTCCCCCACCCAGATCTCTTCATCCCCTTCTTCTCCCCCCCCTCCCCCTCCCTCTCTCTTCCTCTCCCACCCTCCCCTCTTCTCCCTCCTCCCCTTTCTCCCCGCTTCTGTTTTTCCTCCTCCACAGTCTGTTGGTTGCTGCTTGCCAGCGTTGTCTTTCCCTTCTGCCCGCTTTCCCCGCTACGCGTTCCAAGTGATATATTTCTCTGTTGCCCGCAGGAAAGTTTCGGCACCTGCCGGTGGTGGACGGCGGGGAGGTGGTGGCGATGCTGCCCGTGCGCAGCTGCCTGGCGGAAGCGCTGCTGCGCGCGGAGGAAGTGCGGGGAAAGGGCGCAGATGTGGCGGAAGCACTGAAAGAGGCGGAGCGGACGGGAGGGGCCGACAGCGCGGCTGCTGGTACGTGGCACTGACGAGACATTCCGTTTCTGCTCCGTTTCTGTCCGTTATCTTTTCCGTTTCCACTCTTTTCTGCTCCCCCTCACTCGTTTTCATTCCTCTATCCCGTGTTCTCCGTGTCAACCCCTCTCTCTCCGCTCCCTCTCGCTTCTCCCCTTCCCTCCCTCTCCCCCGTCTCTCCCTCCCTTCCCCCGGCTCTCCCTCCCATCGCCCGTGCTGCGTGCAGCCACTCTACGTGCGCTGTGCGACGGCGTCACTCGTCCCATCATGTCCGCGCTCTTGGCGCCACACACAAGGTGCGCGCGCGCTCGCTCGCTCTGTACTTCTCGCTCTAGCTCTCGCTCTAGCTCTCGCTCTAGCTCTCGCTCTAGCTCTCGCTCTAGCTCTCGCTCTAGCTCTCGCTCTAGCTCTCGCTCTAGCTCTCGCTCTAGCTCTCGCTCTAGCTCTCGCTCTAGCTCTCGCTCTAGCTCTCGCTCTAGCTCTCGCTCTAGCTCTCGCTCTAGCTCTCGCTCTAGCTCTCGCTCTCTCACCTCACCTTCTCCTCTCCCTTTCATATTACGGTTCACACACCCACATGGTTGCTTGCTCCCTGTAAACCCGCCCACCCCCCCCCCCTCCTCCTGCCCACAACCCTCCTCCCCCCACCAGGCCCGCGGCGGTGCGCACAACGGACTCTGTGGCAGCAGCAGCGAAGGCGATGCTCGTATCGGACTACTGCTCGTATTGGCCCTAACCCTCTTCCTCCCCTACCCCCGCGCGTCAGGCCCGCGGCGGTGCGCACAACGGACTCTGTGGCTGCGGCAGCGAAGGCGATGCGCAGACACGGCGTGACGGCCGTGCTCGTATCGGACTACTACCACCACTGTGACTCCGCGCAGGCTCGGGCGCATGAGCGTGAGAGGGAGGAGGCGCACGATCAGGCGCGGGCGCAGGAGGGGGGGAGCGGGGGGAGCAGCGGCAGCAGCAGCTCTGGCGGTGGCAAGGGCCGTGGCGGCAGGGGCAGCAGCAGTGGCAGCAGCAGCCGGAGCAGCGGCAGCGGGAGAGGGGGGGAGTGCGGGAGGGTGGTGAAGGAAGTGTGCGGGATATTAACGTGAGTCATCATTCTCACGATTCCCATGACCCCTGCTTCCCGTAGTTCCTCCCATGTTTATTAGTGCGACTTTTGAGAATTCTCAAAAGTCGCACCCATGCTTTCCTTCTCCCTGGTGCTTCTCTCTCACGACTTACTTCCGCCATCCCTCTCGTACCTCACGTCCCGCCCATCGCCCAACCATTTCTCGTTCTCCAACGCTACCCCCTGCCTCCCTTTCCCGGCACCGAGCCCCCGTTTCCAACTGAAAAATCTCTGCCCCTCTGTCTCACGCTGCACTGCGCTATCCCCCGCCTCTCCATTACCCTGCACTGCCTGCCTGCACTGAGCTACCCGCGTCTCATAACCGAGTCTTCCTCCCTCGCTAGCCTCATCCCCTCCACTGTCCACACTACCCTGCCCCGTGGATCCCCCATCTGCCCCCTCTGCCCCTCTGCCCCGGGTGCGTCTCCCCTCTCCCCCTCTGCCCGTGTGCCCCTGCTGCCTGCCAGTTCGCGCGACATTCTTCTGCGTGTCATCGCAGCGGGTTTGGACCCCACCAACGTGCTCGTAGAGCAGGTGAGTGAGCCCCGTCAGCCCCGTCAGCCCCGTTAGCCCCGTCAGCCCCGTCTCTTAAACAGAGTCCCCCTAGATCGTCTTTCACTGGTGACCACGTCAGGTGGTGGTTGCTCCACAGGTTGCCCTCTCCACAGGTTTGCCCTGCGCTGCGCTGCTCTGCTCTGCGCTGCTCTGCTCTGCTCTGCTCTGCGCTGCTCTGCTCTGCTCTGCTCTGCTCTGCTCTGCTCTGCTCTGCGCTGCTCTGCTCTGCGCTGCGCTGCTCTGCTCTGCTCTGCTCTGCTCTGCTCTGCTCTGCTCTGCTCTGCTCTGCTCTGCTCTGCTCTGCTCTGCGCTGCCCTGCTCTGCGCTGCTCTGCTCTGCTCTGCTCTGCTCTGCTCTGCGCTGCTCTGCTCTGCTCTGCGCTGCGCTGCTCTGCTCTGCGCTGCTCTGCTCTGCTCTGCTCTGCGCTGCTCTGCTCTGCTCTGCTCTGCTCTGCTCTGCTCTGCTCTGCTCTGCTCTGCTCTGCGCTGCTCTGCTCTGCGCTGCGCTGCTCTGCTCTGCTCTGCTCTGCTCTGCTCTGCTCTGCTCTGCTCTGCTCTGCTCTGCTCTGCGCTGCTCTGCTCTGCGCTGCGCTGCTCTGCTCTGCTCTGCTCTGCTCTGCGCTGCTCTGCTCTGCTCTGCTCTGCTCTGCGCTGCTCTGCTCTGCTCTGCTCTGCTCTGCTCTGCTCTGCGCTGCTCTGCTCTGCGCTGCGCTGCTCTGCTCTGCTCTGCTCTGCTCTGCTCTGCTCTGCTCTGCTCTGCTCTGCTCTGCGCTGCGCTGCGCTGCGCTGCTCTGCTCTGCTCTGCTCTGCTCTGCTCTGCTCTGCCCTGCCCTGCCCTGCCCTGCCCTGCCCTGCACTGCTCTGCTCTGCTCTGCTCTGCTCTGCTCTGCTCTGCCCTGCTCTGCCCTGCCCTGCCCTGCCCTGCCCTGCCCTGCCCTGCCCTGCCCTGCCCTGCCCTGCCCTGCCCTGCCCTGCGCTGCGCTGCGCTGCGCTGCGCTGCGCTGCGCTGCGCTGCGCTGCGCTGCGCTGCGCTGCTCTGCTCTGCTCTGCTCTGCTCTGCTCTGCTCTGCTCTGCTCTGCTCTGCTCTGCTCTGCTCTGCTCTGCTCTGCTCTGCTCTGCTCCTCTCTTCTCTTCGCTGTGCACCTATCCGCCCTCTCCTCTGCTTTGACCTGCTCTGTTCACCACCTCTCAACCCACCATCTCTCGTCCCCTTCTTCCCCCCTCCCCCTTCCCCACACACCCCTCCCCACCCCCGTCAGGCATGACGCACGCCCCGGTGACCGTCCCGCTTGGCGCGTGTCTGCTGCAGGGTCTGCGTCACATGGACTGGAGGGGTGGGTCTAGGAGGAGGAGACTCTCTCCGTACCTCTCAACCCACCACCTCTTTCTGCCCACTTCCCCCCACCCCACCCCACCCCACCCCACACCCCGCCAGGCCATGACTCACGCCCCGGTGACAGTCCCAATCAGCGCGTGTCTGCTGCAGGGTCTGCGTCACATGGACTGGGGGGGCTTCTCGCATCACCTCTCAAACCACCGCCTCTCCTCCCCCACTCTCCCCCCCGCATTACCAACAGGCCATGACCCACGCCCCCGTGACGGTCCCACTCGGCGCATGTCTGCTGCAGGCGCTGCGTCACATGGACTGGGGGGGCTTCTCACACCTACCCGTCACGGACGCTGGTGAGTGGGGGCTGTGGGGTGGGCACACCAGAGGCGGGCGGTGGGGTGGGCACTGGGGGCGGTGGGTGGGTTGGGCACGCGTGTCTGCTGCAGGCGCTGTGCCACATGGACTGGGGGGGCTTCTCACACCTTCCTGTCACGGACGCTGGTGAGTAGGGGAGTTTGTTGCTGGGGCATGGGAATGCATAGGTGCATGGGCATGGGCTATGGGTGTGTGGCATGTGAGGGTGTGGCGCCCATTCTCACTGTGCGCTTTACCTCCCATCCCAACACTGCCTTGGATTGAAACACCGTAAGACAACCCTTCCCCTCTTCTTCCCTTCCCTTCCTACGCTACTTTCCCTCCAGACGGCAGCTGTGTGGCATGTGTGGGAGTGACGCCCATCCTCTCTGCTCTCTTCACGGGCCAGCATTGCCGTCACCTACAGGTACCTCTCCCGTACCGTTCCCCACCGTTTGTCCCATATCGTTTCCCTCAAATTCTCCCATTCCTTTTCTCCTCTCGTCTCGTTTGAACATGCTTCAAAGGTGGCATAGTCTTTTAAACCGTGTTTTAAGGTACCCAGAATCAGCATGCACTGTTAGTCATGTAGACTTCTAGTAGGCATCTCACCCATTTGAGAGATGTCCATGATTACTCAGTTGAGAGACATACTCACCCATTTCCCTCTCCCCATAAATTCCTCTCTTCTCCCTTATCCCGCTTACCCTCTCCCTCTCCATTTCCCCTCCACCCATCTCCGCGCCTCTCCCCCACTGCAGCAGCAGGCGCAGCAGCTGACTGCCGCCATGCGGGAGGCAGTGGAGGGGGCAATGCAGCACGTGTGGGACTCAAGAGAGATCTCCTTTGAGTCGACACAAAACTCACCTTTCCGCCTTTCCCATTCCCCCCTCTCCCCCACTGCAGCAGCAGGCGCAGCAGCTGCCTGCCGCCATGCGGGAGGCAGTGGAGGGGGCAATGCAGCACGTGTGGGGCTCGGCACTAGAAGGGGCGGAAGGGGAGGACGAAGGGGAGGAGGGGGAGAGTGAGGAGGAGGAGGGAGAGAGTGAGGAGGAGGGAGAGAGTGAGGAGGAGGGAGAGAGTGAGGGGGAGGAGAGTGAAGGGGCGGGGGAGAGGATTGGGGAAGAGGTGGAGGAGGACGATAGAGTTGAGGCTACGGCTGGGGGGAACGCAGGGAGGGGTGCTGCTAGAAGGGAGGGGTTGGGGCAAGAGGAGGCCGAGGGAAGTGGAGGACGCAGGAGGCAGAAACCCTCTGATGTGAATCGTGGTGCTCTTGATGATGCTGGTGGTGATACTGCTGTTGCTGGTGCTGCTGCTGCTGGTGCTGCTGCTGCTGCTGCTGCTGCTGCTGCTGCTGCTGCTGCTGCTGCTGCTGCTGCTGCTGCTGCTGCTGCTGCTGCTGCTGCTGCTGCTGCTGCTGGTGCTGATGCCGGTGCTGCTGGTGGTGCCACTGCTGCCACTCGTGCTGCTTCCCGCTCTACCTTCGATGCATGGAGTGGCATTTACACAGAGGCAGGGACAGTGGGGGAGGGTGGGGATGCAGAGGATGGGTATGAGGGGGGAGGGGAGGAACTCTCCATTGCTGGCGGCTTCCCCCCTCACTTCCCTCGCTCTGCTGCTGGTGCTTCTGGTGCTGCTGCTGCTGCTGCCGCTGCTGGTTCTGCTGCGTTTCATCAGCCCGGAGGGTTTTATGGAGGGGAAAGGATGGCTTCTTCTGCTGCTGCTGGTGCTGCTGGTGGTATGGCTGGTGCAGTTGGTGTTGGTGGGTTTGCTGGTGCGTATGGTAATGGGTATGCACCACCGCAAGCCGTGCATATGGCAACAATGCATCCTGTGAATGGGATGGCTATGAACATTGGACATGGCATGCCGCAGCAAGGCTCGCAGCATGTGATGCCAATGCACAACAGCGGGGGGCAACAGCAGCAGTGGGTGATGGAGCAGCAGCAGGTGCAGCAGCAACTGCTGCAGGCACAGAGGCACTGGGAACAGCAGCAGCAGCAGATATGGCAGCAGCAACAGCTGCTGCAGTCACAGCACCGGTGGGAGCAGCAGCACCAACAGCAGCAGCAGCAGCACCAACAGCAGCTTCAGCAGCACCAACAGCAGCAGCAGCAGCACCACGAACAGCAGCATTGGGAGCAGCAACAGCAGCTTGTGCTTGACAGCCCTAGAAGGTTCCAGAAGCAGCTTCCCTTGCTGCTCGTGCCACAGCCCAACACCGCTCCTCCCCGCAACACCAACAACAGCAACAGCAACAGCAACACGAACGAAAGACGACCGTCCTCACCCTTCCCTGGGCCCCCTTTCTCATCAGCAACCACATCAGCGGCACCAGCAGGAGCAGCCATAGCTAGACCTGCTACTGCCGCTGCTACTGCTCCTCCTCCTCCTGCCGCTGCTCCTGCCGCTGCGACTGCACGTGGAGCCGTGACTCCTATGACGGGCAGCAGCAGCTGCAGCACGCCCTCGTGTGCGTCTGTGTGCTCCTCCGCGGCCCTGCTGCCGTTCAAGCTCATCGACCACCGCGGCCACGTGCACCGCTTCATGTGTGGTAAGTGGATGGATGGATTCATGTGCTGGCTAGACTGCCAGGGGATGCGCATGTGGGGTGTTTGCTGCCGTTCAATCTCACCGACCACGGCGGGCACGTGCTCCGCTTCATGTGTGGTGAGTGGATGGGCATGGGTTGTCTGTGTCCTGGTTAGAATGACATGAGCTGTTTGCTGCCGTTCAAGCTCACCGACCACCGCGGGCACGTGCACCGCTTCATGTGTGGTGAGTGGGTGGGTGGGCATAAGGTGGGTGGGATGCATGCTCTGGCGAGACTGAGTGTCACACGAAGTGTGCGCCTTTTGAGACGTCTCAAAAGTCACGCGGAGTGTGCGCATGGGTTGTTTGCTTCCGTTCCGTTAAGTTCAAGCTCACTGACCACCGACTCACCAAGGTCATGTGCACCGCTTCATGTGTGGTGAGTGGATGGGTGGGCATAAGGTGGGTGGGATGCATGCTCTGGCGTGACGGGGGTTGTTTGCTTCTGTTCAGTTCAAGCTCACTGACCACCGAACCGACTCATCAAGGTCATGTACACAGTAGTACACTCCTTCATGTGCGGTGAGTGGATGTGCATGGGGTGGCTGGCTGGGCGTGGGGGGTGGATGCGAGGTGACTTTTGAGTCGACTCAAAAGTCACAGCACACCCGTTCATGTGCGGTCAGTGGATGCGCATGGGGTGGCTGGCTGGGCGTGGGGGGTGGATGCGCCCTCACTCACGTTTTTTCACATCATGGCACCTTGTCTAAAGCCCGCTGTCTGCTGCATGCCTGTGTTTCATGCCTCTGCACACCACAAAGACCCTCAGCAGCATCAACAGCACCATCAGCACCATGTCTCATGCGCATGGTTTGAGGCATCTCATAACTCGCATAAACACCATGTGTACTGCTTTTGAGTCGACTCAAAAGTAAACACCATGTGTACTGCTTTTGAGTCGACTCAAAAGTAAACACCATGTGTACTGCTTTTGAGTCGACTCAAAAGTAAACACCATGTGTACTGCTTTTGAGTCGACTCAGAAGTAAACACCATGTGTACTGCACAGCTTCCCTCATCTTCCGCTTCCCTCCCCCCCAACCCCTTTGATCCCCCCATCCACTCTCTTCCATGTACACGTGGCAGCATGTGAGTCGCTGTCGGATCTGATGAGTGCGGTGGCAGCACGCCTAGCATGGGACTACGATCCTACCAGCCCGCCCACTGTCCTCGTACGTGCTCTGCTCCTGTGCGTGCCATGTGCTACTTGTCTGGTGCCATGTGCCATGCTTGTGCTTTGTTGTCACCAACCCGCCCACCGTCCTCGTATGTGCTCTGCTCCTGTGCGTGCCATGTGCTACTTGTCTGGTGCCATGTGCCATGCTTGTGCTTTGTTGTCACCAACCCGCCCACCGTCCTCGTACGTGCTCTGCTCCTGTGCGGCTTCCTGTGCCGCCATTTTTCCATGGAGTTTGTTTCGCTGTCCTAGTACAACACGAGATGATGGAAGTAAGGCCTCCGCAGCCCACCTGTCCTCTTTTGACAGCTCCTACCAACCCGCCCACCGTCCTCGTATGTGCTCTGCTCCTGTGCTTGCCATGTGCTGCACGTCTGCCCTCCGTTTTTCAAGCTGCTTCCCTTGCAGCCTGTGGCACCCATTATTTGTTCATTATCATGCCACCATGCCATTTTTATGCCACCATGCCATTTTTATGCCACCATGCCATGGCAGGACATGGATGAGTATGTTGTGCTGTTCTTGACTTGTGCCTCTTTCCAAAGGCTGAACCCCACTTGCACCCATTACACCCACTCCATATCCCTCCGCCCCATGCCAGTACATGGACGAGGATGGTGATCGGGTGGTGCTGGACTCAGATGATGACCTGCGCGTTGCCCTCGCTGCTGCTGCTGCTGCAGCTGCTGGTCACCGCTCCCAGGTACAGTGCGGTACTGTAGGGTTTCAGAGATGGCATGGTACAGTGGTACGGCATGGAAGAGGTGGTATGACATGATGTGGCCTTACTGTGTGCGTGCTTCACAACTGGGCTTTCCACGCAGATTCTCTACTCTACGTTGATCTTCTCGCGCGCTCTGTATCTCACCCTCTCCCGCTCGCTCGTCCATCTTGCCTTTCTCAGCCGCTCATCGTTTTCCCTTTTTCTCATTGTGTTTCCCTCTCTTCTCCCCATGTCCTGCTAATTCCCTTTTTTCCCCGGCAACCCTCCCCCTGCCCTCACCCACTTCAGTCTCGGCCACCTCTCCGGCTATACATAGACACCACACAAACCCCTCCAACGCCTTCCAAGCACCTTCCCAGCTCTACTAGCAACACCCGCCCTGCTGCTGCCGTCGTCCCCCATCCATCCACTCCTGCTTCTTCCCACGCGCCGCCTCCTCCCTCCACATCACACACTCAGCAGCAGCAGCAGCAGCAACAGCAGGTATATGGAGCTAAGCCTAATGATTTTACCAGATGTCCTGGGAGAGGGAGCAGGGAAGGTGAAGGTGCAAGTGGGATTGGTATACAGGGATGCTCCCATGAAGAATGTGGCTTCTGTGCGCGAAGCCAACCGTGTGAGTCTACGGATAAGAGAACATGGGGCGTTGCGTCATCATGGGACTCACAAACAGCTGCGTATGCAAGTGGAGTGATGATTGTGGCAGTAGCTGCATGTGCTGCAGCTGCTGTTTTTGGGATGAGGAGCAATCATTCCCTGTTTCTATCCCGTTAATGATTGTGCTTATTTATTTAGCAATAATAAGGTCATATTGTACCAGATCGAGATACTGTGGAAACTGTGGCATGTTAATCTATAGATGGTTTTTAAAGGGCTAGACCCACGGTAAATTACAAAAACTGAGTCAACCCCGGGTTGGGGTTCAGACAATTTAAGGTTCAGACAAAAGCAGCGCGAAGGCGAAAACAATCTGTGAACAATATGTGCCTTATGCCCAACTAAATTGCAGATATGTACAGATATACAAGTTGGTCCATATCGTAAGTGTAATCCCCCATCGTTATTAGTGCAATGCAATAGCTCCCACCCGAGCATCACCATCAATTTCATCTTCCCTCCGAGAGGTCCGCTCTTGAGGGCTTCAAATGTCCGACGATGGCTCTCTTGTAAGCCTAGGATCACCACCACACCGACGTTTTCGCGCAGCGTTTAGGGCGACTCATGGGTAGGACCTCGAGATTTGGCCGCCGTTTTTAGAAACTGGCGAAAGCTGATGCGTGTCTTCCATTTTCTCGCTAGTGCGTGTCTTCCCTTTCGCGAACGCAAAGAGCCTCTTCGCCTTTGCACCACGAAGGCCTCGCGTTTTTCGCGGAGAGCCGCGTTACCGCAAGGGGCAGCGGAAGACGAAGTTCCCGGGCCGCAGCTCCTTCCCAAACCTCCACCGGGAAATCGTTCTGCTCGTAGATTGGTTCCGGAAGATTGATTAGACCAAATTTCCAGGCTGGGCAACATGTCGGCACAGACATCAGAAATCATCGGAGCCACAGGCTCGGCACCTGTGCGAGACGGAGCTTGTTTCGCCCGTCTCTTCGTTCTCTCCTCCACAATTCCCCCACCACCCCTCTTTCCCACCTTCACCGCATCTACATATCCGCACTCCCCCTTCTCTCCACATTCAGAGTTCCCTTGTTCTTCTATCCTCAGCAATTTCGAGATCTCACATTCAGTCTTCCCTTGTCCTCTATCCTAGCTACCACCTCGCAAGCACCCGAGCTGTGCAATTTGAGCATTCAACTTCCTCCTGACTCCAGTTTCGCCAGTAATCAATGGCAGTCACTGGTGTGTTTTCCTGCGTCTCCTCGTCGGCAGAATACCCAACCTTCGCTGCAGCGCTGAGCCTTTGGAAGTCCCGCAGTTCTGTAAAGCAGTCCCAGGCGAAAGCACCGGTGGCCTCCGCGACTCAATGCGCGGCTGCAGACGACAATGACGCGCGTGACTCCGTGTGCGAGGACAAGGAGCGCGAGCAAGGCAGTCCCAGCACCGACAACACCAGCAACACCGTCGTTTGTAACGAAAACAGCAACACGCCGCAGTGCTCGCCGATTAGCACCCTGACGTCGTTCAGCAGCATCGGCAGCACCTCAAGTACCTCGAGCAGCAGCGACAGCAGCAGCTTCGGCGAAGCGTGCAACGGTGTGAACACCGACTGCAGCAACAGTGCGTTGAGGTCATCCTGTGTGAGTGTAAAGGCGATGGGTGGTGAAGACATGAAATCGAGCACACGCGAGTCTTCTGCTGTCCAGCAACCTGTGAGGCGAATGGCATCCGGTAATACGAGGGAGCTCCCTTCGCGGATTTCCAGGCCATGCAGCACACGAGCAGGCGGGAAAGTGAACGGAGAGGTCAAGGCAGCGGATGCACCGCGAGCTGTGCTTGTCCGACAAGAATCTTCAAGGAGCAGCACAGCACGGCAGCAAGAGAGCAAGGGGGTCGTCTTGTCTCTGCTAGGTCCGGGAAAGGGCCTACCAGGACTTCCAAGGTAGCTGCAAAACGACCTCCGTGGAGGCCTTAAAACAGCTGTTCAGCAGAGAGGGATGAAGCATGCACGGAGTAACCATTGTGGACGCTTGGCATCAAGGAGCATGACTGAACAATGGTGCTCAGACATTGACTGAGAAGGCATGTGGTGATGATGGTGTGGTGTTGGTTCATAAAAGTGGAGCTTCATGGCTGATGGCATCACGGTGCTGCTGAAGCAGCCTGGAGCCTTGTACCATAGATGAGGAGGGTGCTAAACACAATTGGCAGGCTTCTATGCCCCTGATATGGGACAATCCTAGCAAAGTTAGATGCAGATAGCTAGTGCACTAGCGGTGCGTAGATAGTTTAATTATGGCTATATGGCAATCTTTATTGAATGTAAATCAGTGGCAGAACAAAATCTGGTGTACTTGCAAACAGAAAACGCAAGAGGGTATTATTGACAGAATAAACGAAAAGTGCAAAATCAATCATGCTTGCACCTCCCTCCCACACACCAAGTAAATAATAATAATTTATGTTTTTTAGTGAATAATGTTAGAATATTGATTGAGTGATCTATGACAAGTCTTTCTATCGACAATTATTACAGTCATTATCTTCCGGTTATCAGTCTTGGATAGTTACCGAACCAAATTCGGTAGGTTATCTCTATTATTGAGATAATTTTGTAGCTCCCATGTGTGTGATGTTGCGAAAACAATGATTCGTGCACTCATCACGCGCAATCAACGAAAACAGATGTCGAACCGCGACGTTGATAAGCAAGCAGTCGGACAAGCAACATTCTTTTCCCGCCATTCATCAACCGACGCGCCGCCACATCAAAATCCAACATTCGGAATTCGAGAGCCGTCCCTCAACCCCCGTCCCACACTGTCGGCGATTGTGAATTGGACCATCATCGGCCCCATTCCCCTCCCTTCCACAGCTGTCTTTCTCCTCGCGCCAACTCTTCATTCCGACGATAAAGCTCCACCATCGTCCCATATCGACGCGTAGTTGTGGTACGAGGTGAAATTAAGAGACCGACATTAAGGAAGCTCCGTGCATCGTGACAGGCAACCCCGTGCAAACCCGCGTGCATCGTGACGGGCATCTCATCAGCAATGGGGCAACGGCATGGTAGGAGACTTGTCCACCAGCACTCCCACAAAGTCTTAACGGCACAAGCAAGCTAATGCATGATTACGGAAATCTCGCATCCATATGTCACTCTGATGAAATAGGTTCGTAGTTAGACGCAACGATCTGAAATCGTCAGCTTTATCTCGTTCCGGTTCCGTGCCTTTCAGGTGCCAAGAGTGTTCTCCTGGTCGCGCTTCTCTTCGGCCTGTTCGCCTCATGCTCGCACTCCTGGCAAGTCAAGTGCACTAGCGGGCCTCTCTCCGGCTCCATTGGCCGAACAGTCAGTGAGTCCCCATGCAGTTATTTCAGAATGTCGTATCCCACTCGCACCGTTTCTCGCACTGATAGCCGTGGTCTCCTCATACGCCGCGTGCCTTGTATATGATGAACCATGTTTACCGCTCACACACTCCTCAATCACTCTCTCACCCGTTCCATCTGCCCCTGCCATTCCTAAATTACCTGCTCGCTTGATGAGCAGGCGTCACGAGGGCTGTGCTGAAGCAGCAGCGCATTCCTGGGTTCGTTTTCGGAAGGCGAGATGCCGATGGCGTCCTCACCATCACCGTTTACAAGTAAGCCCTCTAAAAGATAGAAAACCATATTCACGCGATTGAATTGTATGAAACCCCTACCCTTGTTTAATAGTCTGCATGTGAGTCACGGCGTGCGAGACGCACAGTGTGACAAGCCATAGACGCATGAACCACGTCCGTGAGAGGCAGAGCCGCTGACGATGTGCCATGATCTCGCGTGCGTGCAGGAGAGGCAATAACGTCAACGTGAAATTCCGCCTCATCACGGAAAGCGTGTTCGTCCCCACCACTCGGTACATCAACTTCGGTCCTGTAGGGTACGACGGGCCGCCTCTGCTCTCGATTCCCGGTAGAGGCCGCATGCGCTGGCGCTTCGACGGACCTAAGTACTGGATCACGGGATGGGTCATGAACGCGCAGCGGAAACCCTCGCTAAACGCAAGCAGGACTGTTGCAGATGTGCTACAGGAGGTTGACGCGAACCCTGGAACTCACTACGCCATTGTGAATAGCGCGGCGAATTGGAAGGGTGCGATTCGGGGGCAGCTGAGACGAGCGTTTTTCGTGCCGTGCGTGGCGGGGCGTGGGAGGCGGTTTCTCTTAGACTCACCATAGAGCACACCTTGTGTGATGGTTGATAAACGGATAGATACTAGGGTGTGGAATAGGTGAGCGAGAACTCTAACCAATTTATTTCGTTTGATAGTAGATGTACAGGTTCGTCTATGTACACAGCAAACTTTCAGAGATGAGTGTGGCATTCCAGAAGAGATTTCTGTAAGACTTCTATCCTTTTGGAAACTTAACAGAGAATGAATTATACACAATGTAAAGTCAGACATTCATGCATCTTCCTTGGTACTACCAGCAGCTATGCCATCATCGTCAGAATCCCTGACTTCAGCAGCTAAATCCCTATCACGAAGCAAACCATCACTCTCCAACGGCATCACATCAATGTTCACATCTTCCTTGTCGCGCTGCACATCCTCTCTCCCCGAAACATCTCCCGCCGCTGTTTCTTTTACCGAGGCATCTCTTAGTGAAGCGTCTCGCAACAAGCCGTCTCTGGCGAGAGCAGAGCGCAGGGAGGCCTCAGCTAATCGGCCGGTATTGGAGATCATGCGAGAGAAAGAGCCCACTCGGTCTGCTGCCAGCTGCTGCGGTGACCCAAACTGCACCACCCGGCCCTGCTCCAGCACCAAAACCTGCGGAATTACCAGAGTAGAGAAGGAGAAGTTGGGCAACGCATGGGGACATGCATGGATTGATGATGTAGGTTGCATATCGTGTGTAGTCGTGTCTAGGGTGTGTCAGTAGCCTACTCCATGACACGTGTCAGGCAACACAGCAACCAGTGCAGTTAAGCTGCTGTAGTCAAGAAAGCAAGCAGAGAGCCCCCACCTTATCGGCATCGATAATGGTGTGCAGATGGTGAGCGATGGTGATGACGGTGCTGGCAGCAAACTGGCACCAGTGAAACAAGTACACACTGGAACGTATTTCCCACTTGTCCGCATGCAAGGTAGAGAGATTTCACCCACCTTGTCGGCGTCGATGATGGTGTGCAGGCGGTGGGCGATGGTGATGACGGTGCTGGCAGCGAACTGGCGGCGGATGGTGGTCTGGATGAGCGCGTCCGTGGCCATGTCCACATTGGCTGTCGCCTCGTCCATCAGCAGAATGCGACTGCGGTGCAGCACGGCACTGTGGAGAGGGGAGGGGAACGGGACAGGGAAGTGGAGAGAAGGAGCTGTTCGAGAGGATGAGCGCGTCTGTGGCCATGTCCACGTTGGATGTCGCCTCGTCCATCAGCAAAATGCGACTGCGGTGGAGCACGGCGCTGTATGGTGGGGAGGGGGGGGAACGAAAGGATGTGGAGGAGGGGAACTGGTATGCCTGCAGAACCAATGAGGCAAATGAGAACACAGAGGCTGGGGAAACTGGAAGAGGGGAAGGAAAGAGCAAAGACGACGGGGGCTGGAGTGGTAGCGGATCAAGCAAGCACCCAAGGCAAGCAACCACTCACCGTGCAAGACACACGAGCTGCCGCTGTCCCACAGAGAAATTCTCCCCGAACTCGCTCATGCTCGCCTCCAGTCCTCTCTGCAGCCCGCCCGCCTTGCCTCTCAGCTGCACTGCGTCTAATGCCTCCCATAGTGCCGCATCCGGGTGCTGACTGGAAGGAGTCAGGGGTTTGGATATAGGTAGACACTTGACTGTGTGTAAGAAGTGAATACAAGGAGTCACATCACAGCCCTCTCTGCAGTCCACCCGGCTTGCCCCTCAGCTGCATGGCGTCTAATGACCCTAAACCCTAAAATCCAGGGGTCTCAGTAGATGGTTGCCCGATTGAAGGTAATGATACAGTAACCCGAAACCCAACACCCGAAACCCTGGTTTGAGCACGGATGAAGATCGAACGACTTGAAACCAATTTAAGAAAAGAACTGCAACAGCAAAGATTAGGACCGCACTTGAACGGGTCGAGGTTGAATCGGAGAGAGCTGCCAAAGAGCACAGGATCTTGAGGGATTGCCATAACCTGTGTGATGTGGCGAGAGAGGGAGGAAGGGATGGAATGGAGAAGGGGACAGGAATGGGAACGGGGAGGAACGAAGGAAAGATGGACTGGAAACACTGATGACGACGGGAGAAGCAACCGCAACAAACGAATAAGCAAAGAGAAAGGAAGCAAGGGACCCTGGCGGTTCAAGTACCAAAGACAGGGAATTGAGAGAGACAAAAAGTTGCAGAGCAAATACGAGTCCGCACAACACGCACGTTTCTGCGGAGGCGAGTGAGGGAGATGGTGGCAGTGTCAACACCGTCGATGAGGATACAGCCACCGGACGGCTGCACGAGTCGGAAGAGCGCCAGCATGAGCGTTGACTTGCCGGCACCTGACAAGAGGGCATGTGAGAGAGAGAGAAATGTGGTCTATGAGGATACAGCCACCAGATGGCTGCACGAGACGGAAGAGCGCCAGCATGAGCGTTGACTTGCCCGCGCCTGGTAATGCGACGGGGATGGAGTGGAGGTGGGTCAGTGGGAGCGTGTGGGGACAATGGGGTACGAAAGGAGGAGGATAGGAGGTAATGGCATGAGACCGTGAGAACCGGAGACCGCTCATGGAACGAGTCATGCATTCCATTGCAGTGACTGCAACGTGCCAATCACCACCATCGCAACATTCGTCCCTAGTAGCAACCACTGCCAGGCAGGCAGGCAGGCAGGCAAGCAAGCACAGCAGCGCTCACCGGTTCGCCCCACCACGCCGCACTTCTCCCCTCCCTGCAGCTGGAAGCTCACGTCCTGCAACACAGGGTCCAGCGTGGGCCTATACCGCACCGTCAACCCCTCCACTCTCACTACCCCCTTTGCTTGGCCTGCATCATAACTAGCACTCACCGGTTCGCCCCACCACACCGCACTTTTCCCCTCCCTGCAGCTGGAAGCTCACGTCCTGCAATACAGGGTCCAGAGTGGGCCTATACCGCACCGTCAACCCCTCCACCCTCACTGCTCCTTCATTCGGCCAGCCAGGCGGCACCTCCCCTTGCTCCTCTTCTCCTCTTCTCCCCGGCTCGCTCTTCCCCTCCCTCTGCTTCTGCTCCTCGTTCTTCCCCAAGAGCCCCCCTTTGAGCCTCCTCCTCCTGCTGTTGCCTCCCTTCCCGCCACCTCCATGCCCCTCTTCTTGACCCGCCACCTCCAACCCCTCTTCCTGTGGCAAGTGTGTGTACTCCAATGCTCGCTCAACACCCGTGAACTGCAGAGAGAGAGAAAGTGAGGGCAAGTGAGGGAAGGCGGGGCTTGTGAGACACTCAGTATGGGAGGTGGTGGCACGGGTAAGTGTGTGTACTCCAATGCTCGCTCAACACCCGTGAACTGCAGAGAGAGGGAAAGACAGGGCAAGGGAGGGATGAGCTTTTTGAGAGAGTAGAAACGGCGGGGTGTGCCCGGGCTTGTGCAAGTATCGGAGTGAACAAGAAACGCCTGACGCCTGTGAATAATGCAGCCAAGGTAAAGGACCGGCACAGAGAACAGAACCACTATTCTCACCTCACCATGTTCTCGACCTCTGCTCCTTGCCTAGCTGTGCAGTGCACTGCAGCATGCCCAACATTGGCTGCAGCGTGTAACTCAGAAGAGCCAACACCAGCAGGCCGTGCGGCCAAGGGACACAACGCAACCCAGTGAAGGAGATGAAACGGCACAGAGCAGAGCAGGAATCATTCTGTCTCACCATGTTCTCGACCTCTGCTCCTTGCCGCATGGCCCACTGCCGCATGCCAGACATCAGCAGGGTGTAGCTCAACGCCAGAACCATCAGGCCAGGCGGGAGGGTCGCAACGCAATGAAGGGGACGAGAAAAAAATCACTCTGTCTCACCATGTTCTCGACCTCTGCTCCTTGTCTGACCGCCCACTGCAGCATGCCAGACATCTGCAGTGTGTAACTCAGCGCCAGCGCCACCAGACCAGGCGGGAGGGTGGTCCTGAGTGCGACAGCGAGCGTGGCGACGAGAAACACGACGGCGGAGACGATTGCGTCGAGGCGGAAGGCCAGCCAGCGGGAGGCGAGGCGGCAACTCACCATGTTCTTGAATTTCGTAACACGACGCAGGGAAGGTGAAGGGGAAGGACCGGCAGAGAGAAAAGAGCAGCCCTGACTCACCATGTTTTCCACCTCGGCTCCTTGCCGCACAGCCCACTGCAGCATGCCAGACATCTGAAGGGTGTAGCTCAGCGCCAGTGCCACGAGCCCGGGGGGCAGGGTCGTCCTGAGTGCGACAGCGAGCGTGGCGACGAGAAACACCACGGCGGAGACGATTGTGTCGAGACGGAAGGCGAGCCAGCGGGAAGCGGCGAGCCAGCAGTAGAAGGCGCGGCCGTTGGCGTTGAGGAGACGGTGGAAGATGGTGGCGGACTGCTGCTGCGCTCCGAACGCCCTGATGGTTGTCAGACCCTGCAGGTGGGGTGGGGTGGAGGAGGGAGCAGAGAGTATGGAGGTCCAGATGGTGTTGAGGAGGCGGTGGAATATGGTGGAGGACTGCTGCTGCGCTCCGAACGCCCTTATCGTTGTCAGACCCTGTGGATGGAGATGCGGGAAAGGAAACGAGGAGGCAGCGAGGCAAGGAGCAGCATGGGAGAGACGGGAGGGGGGAAGGAGAGTGATAGGAGGCCCATGGCGTTGAGAAGGCAGTGGAAGATGGTCAGTTGGCTTGAGACTGCTGGCTGGGAGCCAGAGACTGGTAATTGGGGACCGAAGACCGGGGACTAGAGAAGGGGCTGTGGTGGACCCACCTGGATGGTGGCGGCGTAGTGTGCATACACAGGGCTGCGCGTGGCCGCTGGTGCTGGAGGTGAGACTGCTGGTAGTGCTAGGGGCGATGGACCCACCTGGATGGTGGCGGCGTAGTGTGCATACACGGGGCTGCGCGTGATGGCCTCCAGGCGCTTGGCCTCGCGGGAGGTGCAGAGGAAGACGTAGCGCAGGCGCAGGAAGAGCAGGAAGAGAACAGCCATGGGGATGAGGATCCACGGCACTCCCAGCGCCACCATCACTATGGCCCCCACTGCCAGGCTGAGCGTCTGAGGAGCGGAAGGGGGAGGGGAAGGGAGGGGGTGGCGAGGTATTAATACGTTGACACGATAAAGGTATAGAGAGGATCCAGGGCCCACCCAGCGCCGCTATCACTATGGCCCTCACTGCCAGGCTGAGCGTGGTGGGGGGGAAGCGGGAGGTGAGGGGAGAGGGTTGGGGGAAGGGAGGGGAGAGGGTTGGGGGAAGGGAGAGGAGAGGGTTGGGGGAGGGGAGGTTGTGTGACACGCCTAGCAGCCCCACCAGTGTACAACAGCAGCAGCCCCACCAGCGTACAACAGCAGCAGCCCCACCAGCGTACAACAGCAGCAGCCCCACCAGCGTACAACAGCAGCAGCCCCACACACCCCACTTGGCCCATGGACCTGCAAATAGAGAGCCCCACCAACTCTCTGGCAGAGAGGCCTTTCCAGCCTTTCATTTAGTCACCTTGGTTCCATCGAACTAGTTCTTAGAAACTACGTGAAGACACGCCTTCCGGCACTCAAAAAATGTGTAGTACCTACCTTAGTCCTCTTGCCCCACGTTATCGATCCCCAAGTCAACCACACACCTGCAGGTAGTTGAAGAGAGTGAATGGCAGGAGATCATCCAGAATCCCTTGATCGGCTGAAAATCGGTTGAGGATGCGGCCGATAGGGGGTTACCACTGAGTCGAATAACAAGGCACCCCCACCACACCCACACACCACCCTCCACCCGCCACCATGACTCTACCACACACCTGCAGGTAGTTGAAGAGAGTGAATGGCAGGAGATCATCCAGAATCCCCTGGTCTGCAGAGAAGCGGTTGAGGATGCGGCCGATGGGGTTGGCGTGAAAGAAGGCGAGGGGAGAGCCGAGCACGCAGGCGAGCATGGCGGAGTGGATGCGCGACGCAGCGCGCACACACCACCGGAAGAAGAGACCCGCACGGACGAACGAGGTGACCACTCCGGTGAGGACTAGCGCCGTGTAGATGGGCCGGTAGGGGCCGGATTGGTCCTTCTTTTGAGACCAGAAGGCCAGGAACCTGGGGGGGGAGAGGGGGAGGAAACGGGGTGATGGAGAGGATGGGAAGATGGGAGAATGGGGCGTGGGGAGAGGTTGGGAGAGGAGTGTTTCGAGACGTCTCAAAACACTTCTTTCTACACATGGGAGAATGGGGCGTGGGAGAGGTTGGGAGAGGGGGGGGGGGGGATAGGGCGAGAGGCAACGTGGGGTGGGACGTGGTTCATGGGGTGTGGGGGATGGGATATGGGCGGGATAAGAGGTTTAGGGTAGGAAGGAGGAGAGGAAGCATCTTTTGCATGGGTGGGCGTACTTGACAGGGAAGGAGTAAGAAGCAGGTAGATGTAAGAAAGACCACTGCTAGAGGGGCAGGAGAAATGCAGGAGGGAGAGAAAGAGTGCGGGCAGAAGAAGGCGAGCTTCACAAGCGAGAGGCGAGTGAAGTGGAGAGAGAACGTGTGGTGGACATTCGAGAGTGCGGAGTGGGGACTTTGCGGCGCCTAAAAAACGGAAAGGAGGAGTGGGGAGCGGCGAGTGGGGAGCGGCGAGTGGGGAGCGGCGAGTGGGGAGTGTGCGGACGAAGTGGATAGCTCGAGAAAAGAGTTCTCAGAAAGGTACTGACCAGTCGCCCGCACACGCGAGGGTTTGTCCAACAGCGAGAAGGAGGACGAGCAGCAGCGACTGCCACACGCCCACCCTCCTGGCGTACCCCAGGTACACTTGCAGACTTACCATGCCCTCCTCTCTTTTCTCCTTCTGCACCAACCCTGGAGGAACGACGGAGAGGGAGGGAGGGGCGAGGCAAAAGAAGAAACATCTCAGGACGCCTCAGATCACCCTCCTGGCGTACCCCAGGTACACTTGCAGACTCACCATGCCCTCCTCCCTCCGCTCCTTCTGTACCAAGCCTGGGGAAAGGGAGGGAGGGGGAGGAGACAAAACGATAAAAAAGTCAGGAGAGAGGGGAGGGAGAGGGACGTCTCAGATCACCCTCCTGGCATACCCCAGGTACACTTGCAGCACACTCACCATGCCCTCCTCCCTTCGCTCCTTCTGCACCAACCCTGGGGAATAGGTAGGGAGGGAGGAAGGGAGAGAGGAGGGACAGAACGAATAAGTGCTTCAGGCGCAGGCGAGAGGGGAGGGAGACGGACGTCTGAAAACACCCTCCTGGCGTACCCCCCAGGTGCACTTGCAGCAGACTCACCATACCCTCCTACCTCCGCTGCTTGTGCACCAACCCTGGGGAATAGGTAGGGAGGGAGGGAGACGGACGTCTGAAAACACCCTCCTGGCGTACCCCCCAGGTACACTCGCAGCAGACTCACCATACCCTCCTACCTCCGCTGCTTGCGCACCAACCCTGAAAGAGTGAGGGGGAGGGGTGAGGCGACGACATACATCATGGTGGGTTGGTGCAGAATGAAAGATGGAAAATGGAAGGGCGGCATGTATGGGATGATGTATGGGATGATGTATGGGATGATGTATGGGATGATGTATGGGATGATGTATGGGATGATGTATGGGATGATGTATGGGATGATGTATGGGATGATGTATGGGATGATGTATGGGATGATGTATGGGATGATGTATGGGATGATGTATGGGATGATGTATGGGATGATGTATGGGATGATGTATGGGATGATGTATGGGATGATGTATGGGATGATGTATGGGATGATGTATGGGATGATGTATGGGATGATGTATGGGATGATGTATGGGATGATGTATGGGATGATGTATGGGATGATGTATGGGATGATGTATGGGATGATGTATGGGATGATGTATGGGATGATGTATGGGATGATGTATGGGATGATGTATGGGATGATGTATGGGATGATGTATGGGATGATGTATGGGATGATGTATGGGATGATGTATGGGATGATGTATGGGATGATGTATGGGATGATGTATGGGATGATGTATGGGATGATGTATGGGATGATGTATGGGATGATGTATGGGATGATGTATGGGATGATGTATGGGATGATGTATGGGATGATGTATGGGATGATGTATGGGATGATGTATGGGATGATGTATGGGATGATGTATGGGATGATGTATGGGATGATGTATGGGATGATGTATGGGATGATGTATGGGATGATGTATGGATGATGTATGGATGATGTATGGGATGATGTATGGGATGATGTATGGGATGATGTATGGGATGATGTATGGGATGATGTATGGGATGATGTATGGATGATGTATGGGATGATGTATGGGATGATGTATGGGATGATGTATGGGATGATGTATGGGATGATGTATGGGATGATGTATGGGATGATGTATGGGATGATGTATGGGATGATGTTATGGGATGATGTATGGGATGATGTATGGGATGATGTATGGGATGATGTATGGGATGATGTATGGGATGATGTATGGGATGATGTATGGGATGATGTATGGGATGATGTATGGGATGATGTATGGGATGATGTATGGGATGATGTATGGGATGATGTATGGGATGATGTATGGGATGATGTATGGGATGATGTATGGGATGATGTATGGGATGATGTATGGGATGATGTATGGGATGATGTATGGGATGATGTATGGGATGATGTATGGGATGATGTATGGGATGATGTATGGGATGATGTATGGGATGATGTATGGGATGATGTATGGGATGATGTATGGGATGATGTATGGGATGATGTATGGGATGATGTATGGGATGATGTATGGGATGATGTATGGGATGATGTATGGGATGATGTATGGGATGATGTATGGGATGATGTATGGGATGATGTATGGGATGATGTATGGGATGATGTATGGGATGATGTATGGGATGATGTATGGGATGATGTATGGGATGATGTATGGGATGATGTATGGGATGATGTATGGGATGATGTATGGGATGATGTATGGGATGATGTATGGGATGATGTATGGGATGATGTATGGGATGATGTATGGGATGATGTATGGGATGATGTATGGGATGATGTATGGGATGATGTATGGGATGATGTATGGGATGATGTATGGGATGATGTATGGGATGATGTATGGGATGATGTATGGGATGATGTATGGGATGATGTATGGGATGATGTATGGGATGATGTATGGGATGATGTATGGGATGATGTATGGGATGATGTATGGGATGATGTATGGGATGATGTATGGGATGATGTATGGGATGATGTATGGGATGATGTATGGGATGATGTATGGGATGATGTATGGGATGATGTATGGGATGATGTATGGGATGATGTATGGGATGATGTATGGGATGATGTATGGGATGATGTATGGGATGATGTATGGGATGATGTATGGGATGATGTATGGGATGATGTATGGGATGATGTATGGGATGATGTATGGGATGATGTATGGGATGATGTATGGGATGATGTATGGGATGATGTATGGGATGATGTATGGGATGATGTATGGGATGATGTATGGGATGATGTATGGGATGATGTATGGGATGATGTATGGGATGATGTATGGGATGATGTATGGGATGATGTATGGGATGATGTATGGGATGATGTATGGGATGATGTATGGGATGATGTATGGGATGATGTATGGGATGATGTATGGGATGATGTATGGGATGATGTATGGGATGATGTATGGGATGATGTATGGGATGATGTATGGGATGATGTATGGGATGATGTATGGGATGATGTATGGGATGATGTATGGGATGATGTATGGGATGATGTATGGGATGATGTATGGGATGATGTATGGGATGATGTATGGGATGATGTATGGGATGATGTATGGGATGATGTATGGGATGATGTATGGGATGATGTATGGGATGATGTATGGGATGATGTATGGGATGATGTATGGGATGATGTATGGGATGATGTATGGGATGATGTATGGGATGATGTATGGGATGATGTATGGGATGATGTATGGGATGATGTATGGGATGATGTATGGGATGATGTATGGGATGATGTATGGGATGATGTATGGGATGATGTATGGGATGATGTATGGGATGATGTATGGGATGATGTATGGGATGATGTATGGGATGATGTATGGGATGATGTATGGGATGATGTATGGGATGATGTATGGGATGATGTATGGGATGATGTATGGGATGATGTATGGGATGATGTATGGGATGATGTATGGGATGATGTATGGGATGATGTATGGGATGATGTATGGGATGATGTATGGGATGATGTATGGGATGATGTATGGGATGATGTATGGGATGATGTATGGGATGATGTATGGGATGATGTATGGGATGATAAGGGTGTTTGAGAACACCATGTACTTTGAGCCTGCCCTCTTCCCATCCCCCCTTGTCCCCCTCACTGTTACCTCACACACACTCCCCTCACCCAATCCCCCCACCCACACCCCCCACCCCCCATCACACACCCTCCCCACCACCAACCCCCACCAGCCCACCAGCCCACCTTGTCCCGCGCCGTCCTCCTCTGTCCCGTCACCACCCGCTTCCCGCCTCCCATCCCCCCCTTCTCCGCCCATCTCCTCCCCCACCTCCCCCAAACGCTCCTCCCCGCCCCCTTCCCGCGGCTGCCTGTGCACAAAACTCCCCATGATGCTCCGGCTGCGGGACAGCTTCACCCCTCCCCCTCCCCTGCCAACGTTGCTGCCACTGCTGCTGCGCCCAAGGGACCGGTCTCGCAGGGTCATGCTGCGAAGCCGCCGCAGCAGCAGCGCCTGGAAGGATGGGTCGTCGTCGGAGGACGGCGCAATGGCGGATGTAGACTGGCTGCTTGCTGCTGCTGCTGCTGCTGCTGCTGGTTGGGCTTTAACTGGAGTTGCAGTGGGGATGATATCTCCTCCACTAGTGCTCTTACTCCCACTTGGTCCCTTCTGAGCAGCATCTTGTGTCACACCACCATTACCACCATCACCATCACCACCAGAGCCAGAGCCAGAGCCAGTGCCCTCCTCATCACCATCCTCTCCCACTGTGAACAAACACTGACGCTGCAACCGCACCCCACCCTCCCCCACTCCTCCCTTCTCCCTGCCATCTCCCACTTTCGCACCACCAGCAGGAGCTAGCAAATCGTCCTCCTCTCCCGTTCCCCCTACCTCCCCCTCCGCCTCCTCGTCCCCCTCCACCTCGTCCCCGCCCAACAGCCCCTGAAAGTCCACCTGATTTGCCAGATCCGCATAAGGACCCAAGGCCACAGGCCTTCCCCCATCCAGCACTAGCACTCGGTCACAGCTGCGGAGGGGGGAAGGGAGGGGGGGAACGGGGGGTGGGGGAGGATTGTTTAGACGTTTCAACAACACGCCCCCTGCCCTTCATCCCAACTTAGCAGCAGCCCATGTAATTCTACCTGTGATGCCAAAAGGGTAGGGGGAAACAGGGTGTGGGGGAGGATTCTCTTGACGTTTCAACAACACGCCCCCTGCCCTTCTTCATCCCAACTTAGCATCCCCCCTTCTCCACCCAATACCCTAACCCTCCTCCCCTCATCTGGGCAGGTACTGCAGCTGATGTGTCACAACAATCCTCATGGCTCACAACTCAACACGCCATGTATAAACACACACCTCAGTACTACTCCAGTCTCCATCCACCCCCTCCCCCTCACCTGGGCAGGTACTGCAGCTGGTGAGTCACAACAATCCTCGGCCGCCCTTGCATGACCCCCCGAATGCACTGCTCAAACAGGTGCCGCCCCACAGCCGGGTCCACCGCAGACAGCGGATCATCCAGCAGCAAGAGAGCCGCGTCCCTTGCGTATGCTATGCTGCACGTGCTGTGTGCTGCCTATGCCAGCCCCACTCTCTGACTAACCTTCTGCTTACCTTTCCACACGCTCACCACCACTCCCTTCCCCCTCCCCTTCCCCTTCCCCACCCCCTCCCCCTCACCTGGGAAAATACTGCGGCTGGCGTGACAACAATCCTCATGGCTGAGGAGAGGACTCAACAAACCATACCTACACACATCTCAGCACACACTCCAACCACGCACCACCCCTCACCTGGGCAGGTACTGCAACTGGTGAGTCACAACAATCCTCGGCCTTCCACTCATCACCCCGCGAATGCACTGCTCAAACAGGTGCCGCCCCACAGCCGGGTCCACCGCAGACAGCGGATCGTCCAGCAGCAAGAGAGCCGCGTCCCTCGCGTATGCTGCTCGCGCCAGCCCCACCCGCGCCTTCTGCCCGCCGCTCAGGTTCACGCCTCGTTCGCCGATTTCGGTCAGGTCGCCTCGTGGCCAGTTGGCTATGTCCCTGCGTAAGGCGCATGCGTCCAGGACCTGTGGGGTTAGGGAGAGGAAAGGAGGAGCGTGTGAGAGGCAGTAGAAATTTTGTCCACCGCTTGAATTCACTCCTCGTTCGCCAATTTCTGAGAGGACGCCCCCCGGCCAGTTGGATATGTCCCTGCGTAAGGCGCATGCATCTAGGACCTGGGGGGGGGGGATGGAAGGGGTGGAGGGTGTGAAGAGCAGTGAGGCCTTCTGCCCGCCGCTCAGATTCACTCCCCTTGTTTGTCGATCTCTGTGAGGTCGCCCCGCGGCCAGTTGGCTATGTCCCGGCGCAGGCACATGCGTCCAGGACCTGGGGGGTTAGGGAGAGGAAAGGAGGAGCGTGTGAAAGGCAGAATAACTTCTGTCCCCCGCTCAGATTCACGCCTTGTTCGCAGATTTTTGTGAGGGCGCCCTACGACCAGCTGGCTATATCTCGATGCAGGGCGCATGCATTTAAGACCTGTGGGATGAAGGAGAGTGGGAAAAAGGGGGGAGGACGTGGGAGAGAGAATGAAAGGGAGGAGAAAGGGGAGAGAGGACACGGAAAGAGGGAGGAGCAGGGGAGGGAAGTGGAGGCGTGTGACAGAGGAGATTGGTACAAGGGAAAGTGGGTATGGCTGGAATTGCAGGGACGGAGGAGAGAATGAGGTAAAACATTCCACAGATATTATTCAAATGCGTGACAGAAAATGGGGTCTTTAGGGTGCTTCATAAGTGACAGGGAATTGGAGGCACCTGGCTGTAGAGATTTGCTTGGAATGGACGGCCAAAGATGATGTTGTCCTTGAGTGTTCCAGCCATGATGAACGGCTGTGATGTGATGTGATGAATGCACACATCGTGTCGGGACAGCACACTCCACAGCAACGCACCACACCGCTCCACAGCGCACCACACCGCACCACACCACACCACACCACACCGCACCACACCACACCATACCATGCGACACCAGATCATGCCGCACCGGACTCAGACAGAAAAAAAGCACAGGAATTTTGAGAAAGTTCTCAGTAAACCAGAGGAACACCATCAAACCACCCACGACTGCAGCAGAGCATTGCACGGGCAAGTAATCAATCATATCAGACGCGTATGAGACGCGTATGAGACGGCCAAGGATCAAAGCAAAGCAAAACCTCAAGGTCCCTCAACTGCACCTACCTTCTGAGCAGCATATGCGATCTTCTCTGCCCGGCACACCAGCTCTCCCCCCATCAACTCAGCGTCTCCCAGAATGCCCGCCAACAGTGTGGACTTGCCTGCTCCCACCTGCGATAGGGGATTGGGGAGCGGAGGGCCGAGGGGCAGGGGGCAGGGGGCAGGGGGCAGGGGGCAGGGAACAGAGGTCGAAATCAGTGTGAGAAGAAAGGAGAAAACCCCCGAGGGACAGAATACAAAAGATTCAAGACGCAAAGAGGACCGAAGAAACAGCAAGGCAAAGTTCCGTTCACTTCTGAGAGGCATTCGCCTTTCTTTCAGATTCGTTGTCCCCACCCACAATTTTTGAGTTGACTCAGTTCGTTCACTTCTGGGAAGTCACCTCTTTCTTTCAGTTCGTTGTCCCCATCCACATGTCCCCACCCACAATTTTTAACGTCCCCCTCTCCCTCCCTCCCTCCCTCCCTCCCCGCCTCTCCTGCCTCACTCTCTCCTCCCTCCAGAGAAACTCCCTTCCCCAGGTCTCACCTTCCCCGTGACGCCCAGCAGTTCTCCCTCCCCCAGACTGAAGCTCACACCTTCTAATGGCACCACCACCCCTTCCTCCTCCTCCTCCTGCTCCTGCTCCCGCACCCCTCCTCTCCCCTCCCCTCGCTCCCTCACTCTTCCCCCCTTCGCCCTTCTCATCCACTTCCTCCTCTTTCGCCCCTCACCCGTGCTGCTGCCACTGCTGTTACCAGCATTGCTGCCACCACCACCACCACCACCACCACCACCACCACCACCACCACCACCACCACCACCACCACCACCACCACCACCACCACCACCACCACCACCACCACCACCACCACCACCACCACCACCACCACCACCACCACCACCACCACCACCACCACCACCACCACCACCACCACCACCACCACCACCACCACCACCACCACCACCACCACCACCACCACCACCACCACCACTACCATGACCGTTCATCTCCCCATTCGAATCCGAGTTACCATGCCCATTCACCTCCCCATTCACTGCCCCATTCACCTCCCCATTCATCTCCCCATTCATCTCTCCACCACCACCACTGCCACCGCTGCCATCCTTCTCCTGCCCCTTGCCCCCTGTCGCCTCCTCCCTCTCTGCAGCACCCACCCTCCACCCAAATGACGCGTTCACCATTGCACACACGCTGTCCTGCCGTCCTCCCACCTGCTCTGCCCGCTCACCAGCAGCACCACCAACAGCAGCAGAAGCACCAGCAGCACCACCGCCAGCAGCAGCAGCAGCAGCAGCAGCAGCAGAGGCAGGAACAGAAGCAGAAGCAAGAAGTGAAGGAGCAGATGCTATAGAGGCATGTGGTGACGCTGCCTCTCTCCCTGGATCCTGCTCCTGCAGTAGTACCAGTACCTTCCCTACTGCCTCCTCTTCTCCCTCTCCCCCTCCTGAGCCTGTGTTCCTGTCATTAGGTGATGCCACTGGCACTGCTCCATCCCTCCTATTCGTGCTGTTTGACAGCTGATACAGACAAATCAGAGGGGAAGATGAAGAAATCGAAGGATGAACATGAAGGACCAGGCGGGGATTGAAAACGGGTCATCAGGGCCAAAGGGGAGAAAGATGACGGAACGACAGTGGGAAGGGAGGCACAAAGGTGTGTACACACATGCTTCCATCCCATCGCCTTCACCATAACTATACCCTTACACTCATGCCCTCACACCCATGCATGTGTACCCATCCTTGTCGCACCCATGCAATGCCCATCACACCCACAAACTCCACATCCCTGCTCTCACCCGCACGAATGGCTAGAGCCATGAAAAGCTCACAGAATTTGAGCATTTATAAGTTTGTCTTGAGATGTCCCAAACCGTCCCCCATAGCCCCTGCCTTCTCTCTCACCCGCATGAATGCCTCTAATCGTGAGAAGCTGACAGCCGCCTCTGCCACTCGCTCTATGCCCGTTGGGAAGAACACACACATGTACAGGCGCGGAAGCTGGGGAAGGGTGAGTGGGGGGGATGGGGGTGTGGATGGAAAGGGAGGAAGTGGAGAGACAGCAGGGTTGTGTGTGTGAGAAGCACGCAGCCGCCTCTGTCACTCGCTCTATGCCCGTTGGGAAGAACACACACATGTACAGACGCGGCAGCTGGGGAAGGGGGAACGGAGATGGGGTGTGGCCGGAAGGGGGGGTGGGGGGAGAGCAGGGAAGCGCGTGTGAGGAGAAGCAGGCAGCATCTCGTGCCACTCGCTCGATGCCCGTAGGGAAGAACACACACATGTACAGGCGTGGAAGCTGGGGAAGGGGGAACAGAACTGGGGATGTCGATGGAAGGGAGGGGGGGACACAGCAGGTGTGTGTGTGTGTGTGCACGCGCGCGCGCGCGCGCGTGTGTGTGGATGTGCACGTGCGCGCGCGTGATTCCACTTTCACAGAAGTGGCTGGAGGCTGGACTGGAGTAGTCGAGCAGGAGAAAGGTGTGGATGGAGAAACAGAAAAACAGCTCACCCAGAAAGTAACTTCAAAAATACCACCTGGCATCTGCACCCCTCACCTGCACCCCTCACCTGCACCCCACCTGTACGAGGGAGATGACGTAGAAGACCGTGGAGGGCTGCAGGTATCCGCCCTGCAGCGTGTAGGTGACAAAACCAGTACGTGGCAAAACCCCCTCCCCTCCCCTGCAAGAGCACCAACCTCAGCTCACTTGCCCCTCACTCACCTGCACGAGGGAGATGACGTAGAAGACTGTGGAGGGCTGCATGTATCCACCCTGCAGCGTGTACGTGACAAAACCAGTACGTGACAAAACCAGTACGTGACAAAACCAGTACGTGACAAAACCAGTACGTGACAAAACCAGTACCTGGCAAAACCAGTACGTGACAAAACCAGTACGTGGCAAAACCAGTACGTGGCAAAACCAGTACGTGGCAAAACCAGTACGTGGCAAAACCAGTATGTTCTAGCCTCCCCCATCCTCCCCCCACCCCACCTGCACGAGGGAGATGACGTAGAAGACCGTGGAGGGCTGCAGGTACCCGCCCTGCAGCGTGTAGGTGGCGAAGATGACGAGAGACACCATGGAAGAGGAGGCGAAGTAGGACGACTCGTTGAACGCCTTGATGTACGACGCTAGCTCGATGCTGGGGTGGGAGTGGGGGGGAGACGGGGACGGTGGGAGGGGTGAACGCTAGGTAAGCTTGGTAGGGTTTGACTTGATGTGAAGTAGGACGACTCTTTGAACGCCTTGATGTATGACGCCAGCTCGATGCTGGGGTGGGGGAGAGAGGGGGAGGGTGGGATATTGTAAGATTGTGGGATATGAGATGAGGGGACGTAAAGGTGAATTCTTAAGGACGCGAAGTAGGACGACTCGTTGGACGCCTTGATGTACGACGCTAGTTTGATGCTGGGATGTGTGGGAGGTGGGAAGGGTTGGGATGGGGGGGCGTTTGGGTGAGCCGGAAGGGGGGTGAAGCGAAGTAGGACGCGTTGTTGAATGCACGGATGCACGATGCCAGCTCGATGTGACTTTTGAGTCGGCTCGTCCACTCAAAAGTCACCTCGCACGCACGGATGTGCGATGCCAGCTCTATGCTGGGGTTTTGAAAAGGGGTTCGGTGTGGGGAGGGTGGGAAGGGGGAAAGGGGGATGAGTGTTTTAAGTTGAGGCAGATGAGGAGGATGCGAAGTAGGGAGGGAAGGAGAAAGGGGTGAGAAGGGAGGGAGGGTGGGGGAGGAGGAGGGTGGGAGGCGGGATGATGCAAGCTCGGTATTGGCGACCAAGATTAATCGGTGGTAACAGGGTGCGAGCGATGAGGAAGGGAAGGGTGGGGAGAGGGGAAGGGTGAGCACGACAAGAGGGGGATGAAAAGAGGAGGGGATGAGTAGGGGGCGGATGAGGAGAAGGGGGGGTGTTGAGGGGAGGGGGAAGTAAGGAGGGGAAACGAGAGGGGATCGATAGAAGGAGGATGAGGATTGCAGGAGGTTGAGGGCAACTGTTTCTGTTGTCAACGAAAATTATCGTAAGGCGGAAGGATCGTCAACAAAAATGCAGCACAGTAATAATCCAACTACTTAACTCCCTGCCTTCTCCCTGCCCTCTCCCTGCCCTCTCCCTGCCCTCTCCCTGCCCTCTCCCTGCCCTCACCCTGCCTACACACTCTTACTTTCTGCGCTCTTTGTTGCGAATCCTCTGGATGAAGCTCGTGAAGGGTGCCTCCCACGCGAACATCTTCACTGCCAGAATGCCAGATAGCACCTGCCGGGAGGATGAGCAGAGACGGGTGTAGGGGTGGACACGCAGGAGCAAGAAGGGAGGAGGATGGGAGAGAGAGGGGCACTGCTAAGGTTCTGCTCTCAAAATGGATCCTGACAGCTCCAATAACAGGCAACACAACGCAACACAACACAACACAACACAACACAACACGTGACCGTTTGAGTGAAGATGTGGAAGAGTTGATGAGCTGCAGTGTTTTTTGAGAATTCTCAAAGAAGATGTGGAAGAGTTGATGAGCCGCGACCAAACCTCTGCTCTCATCAACTCCGCTCCTCCCCAACCCCCTGCCCTTTTCGCCTACACGGGACATGCATAGCAGTCCTCGCCTCTCCTCTTCCCGCCCCTTCCCACCCCTCCCCTCCTCTTCCCGCCCCTCCCCTCCAGTACAAAGGACACAGCAGCAGCAGACGCCTTGCCTGTCATCTTGACCCGCGCATCTGTCTAACTCCACTCCACTGTCTCCTGCACCACTGCTTGGCAACTCTTTCAACCCCACCACCCTCAGCACAACACACCTCGCCTGTCATCTTGACCCGGGCGTCTGTGAACTCCACTGTCCTGCGCCGCTGCTTGTCAACTCTTTCAACCCCACCACCCTCAGCACAACACACCTCGCCTGTCATCTTGACCCGGGCGTCTGTGAACTCCGCTGTCCTGCACCGCTGCTTGCCTGGGAAGACCTGTCCTGAAACTCCCATTTCCCCACCCCACCCCCACCCCGAACCAACCCCACGGTCCCACACCACAGCTACCACCACAACACACCTCGCCTGTCATCTTGACCCGGGCGTCTGTGAACTCCACTGTCCTGCGCCGCTGCTTGGCAAAGAAGTGCCCAAACAGGGCCTGGAAGGAAGGGTGAGGGGAGAAAAGCGAGAGGAGATGGGTGAGGTGAGGAGAGAAAAGTGAGGGGGGAGAGGGTGAGGGGGGAAGGCTGACGGGAGGAAGGAAGGAAAGTGGGGGAAAAGGGTTGGGGAGAAGGGTGAGGGGAGAAGGGTGAAGGGAGAAGGGTGAGGGGAGAAGGGTGAAGGGAGAAGGGTGAGGGGAGAAGGGTGAAGGGAGAAGGGTGAGGGGAGAAGGGTGAAGGGAGAAGCGTGAGGAGCAAGGAGAGAAGCAAGGACAGCAGCAATGACAGCAGACGCATCTCTTGTACAGCTTCTTTCCAACTCTCGCCATCCTCCGCCACCCCCTACCCCCAAACCCCTCTCAAAACCTCAAACCCAAGCACATGCTCAGCAGCCCCAGGGTTTTGCACGGGATGATCCCTCTCACTCACCTGCAGCGGAATGAGGGCGAGGAGGGCCGCAATGCCAGCAAACGCAGGCTGGGCACCCACTTCCAGGACTATGAGCGCCGTGACCACTACCAGCTCCAGAGGGGCCTGGGCGCGAAAGGAGGGAGGAAGATAAGTGAGTGGACTCAAAACGATTGCAGGCTGGGCACCCACTTCCAGGACTATTAACGCCGTGACCACTACCAGCTCCAGAGGGGCCTGGGCGAATGGGGATGGGGGAAGGGGGCGCGAGGAGTGGGGTGAGAGGTGGGAAGGAAGGAAAGGAGCTTCCAAGCAAACGCAGACTGGGCACCCACTTCGAGGACTAAGAGCGCCGTCACCACTACCAGCTCCAGAGGGGCCTGGGCTGAGCGAATGGGGATGGGGGAGGGAAGCATAATGGGAAGGAACAGGAGAGTAGGTATGGATGGGATGGCATGGCGAATCCGGCAGATGAGGCTTGAACAGGCTGGGGCCGACTTTATGAGGACTACGAGCGTGGTCACCACTAGCAGTTTTGAGTCGACTCAAAACTCGACTCACGGGGCGCCGACTTTGAGGACAATGAGCATGGTCGCCGAGGACAATGAGCATGGTCGCCGAGGACAATGAGCATGGTCGCCGAGGACAATGAGCATGGTCGCCGAGGACAATGAGCATGGTCGCCGAGGACAATGAGCATGGTCGCCGAGGACAATGAGCATGGTCGCCGAGGACAATGAGCATGGTCGCCGAGGACAATGAGCATGGTCGCCGAGGACAATGAGCATGGTCGCCGAGGACAATGAGCATGGTCGCCGAGGACAATGAGCATGGTCGCCGAGGACAATGAGCATGGTCGCCGAGGACAATGAGCATGGTCGCCGAGGACAATGAGCATGGTCGCCGAGGACAATGAGCATGGTCGCCGAGGACAATGAGCATGGTCGCCGAGGACAATGAGCATGGTCGCCGAGGACAATGAGCATGGTCGCCGAGTGTTTTTTTAGAATTCACAAAAAACACTCGCTGCAATATATTTCCCTCCCATTGAGGACAATGAGCATGGTCACCACTAGCAGCTCCAGAGGGGTTTGGACGTATGTGGATGGAATGGGGTGGGAGTGGCAGGCTGGCAGCAGCACAATGAGCAGCTTTGTCACCAGTGGCAGCAGCTTCCAAGGGGACCCTGTCCCATGGAAGAGGCATGAGGAGGGCCACGATGGGGAAGCATTGAGAATGAGAGAACAAGCGCGAGAGGAAGAGGAGCAGCATGGATGGCAGCAGAGGAACACTTACCGACCAGAGGAACTGCGCGAACATGGGGAGCTCATCAAAGCAAGCACGAGAAGGAAGAAAGAACGAGCAGCGGCAGCAGCAGCAGCAGCAGCAGCAGCAGGAAAAGGAGGGGAGGGCAGCAGAGAAGACACTTACAGCCCAAAGGAACTGCGCGAACATGGGGAGCTCGTCGAAGCGGCGAACGTCGTTGGACATGAGCGTGATGCAGTGGCCCGTGGTGATGCGCGTCAATGCACCCCCGTTAAGTGATAGCAGCTTGCTGTTGACTGGCGGAGGGAGGAAAGGGCGGGGCGGAAGAGAGTTTGAGGCGCCTTCACTTGAAGCACATCGTTGGACATGAGCGTGATGCAGTGGCCTGTTGTGATGCGCGTCAGTGCGCCCCCGTTGAGTGACAGCAGCTTGCTGTTGACTGGCGGAGAGGGAGGAGCGTGAGACAATGTGTGTCAAGTCAGAGTAGGGACGAGGCGTTAACTATATAAAGAAAGGAGTGCGTGAAAGTGAAAGGTCTCCCCACTGGCAGTGTGCAAGGAAACTGAGGGCTAGGGGGTTGATTACAGACGCCGAAACACACGGGGATCGCACATGTCGGTGAGCTCAATTCAACCACGCTGTGAGGTGCGGTGCGCATAACGATGTGCTCAATCAACGCACGCACTACATTAGTTAACCAGCATTCTGAAAGTCACTTCTGCCCAACTCACTCACTCAGCTGCATGGAAGAAACTCGCAAGTTCCAGCCCACGATCTGTGAGAGGTTCCAGACCAGATCTGATGGTGCAGAAGTGAGAAAGTTCCTACCATTCCATGTGTGCCACCTACTGCTCATGCCGCACTGCTGGCAACCCTATCCCCCCCCCACTCTCCTCCTTCCTCCAAGCGCGACAATCCACAGACACTACAAGCAAGCACACTCACTGAGGGTCATAGAAGAGGCCACTCGCAGGTTCCAGCCCACGATCTGCGAGAGATTCCAGATCTGATGTTGCAGCAGCAGGAGGCTCCGACCGCCGCCTAATATGCAGTACAGCCATCTCCACCCTCTATTGCCCCAAACGCGCCAAGCCAGGGCAGGGACACTACACTACAACCCCCCATCCGCCACACTCACTGAGTGTCATGGACGCCACTCGCAGGTTCCAGCCCACGATCTGCGAGAGGTTCCAGATCTGATGGTGCAGCAGTGCGAAGCCCAGCGCCAGCAGCCCCATCAGCACCGCCAGCAGGTACCCCTGCCACGCCGGGTCGGCTGTTTCTGGGTCCTGTGCGTCTTGTAAGAAGCGAACCTGGGACATGCGGAGTGATGGGAACGGAAGGAGAGGGGAGAATGGGGGAGAGAAGTGTGTATGTGCGGCTCCTCACAGTCACAGACGACTTTTGAGACGTCTCAAAAGAATGGGGAGAGAGGAGCGTTTGTGCGGGTTCTCACAGTCACAGACGCCGAGCCACAATTTCCGGGATCCTGTACGTCTAGCAAGAGGAGGAGAGCGGGGGAGAGGCAGGGAGAGGGGGAGGCGAGCAGGGAAGGGGAGGGGGGAGAAGTATGATTCAGAGGCTTGCGTTGGCGTCCTGTGTGTGTTGTAAAAAAGTAGCCTGGGAGGACGAGAAGAGGTCAACCAATCTACCCACTTTATCTTCTGCCACACACCCTTCCCCTTCTAACTGCCAGCCCACCCACACCACACCCCTCACACTCTCTCCAGCGCTCTTCCCCTCACACCCTCCCTCCCACCACCACCACCACAATCAGCACCCTCTCACTCGCCCTCACGCACCCCCGTCGTCCCCCTTCCCTCCTTCCCTTTCCCCTTCACCCTCCCCCTTCTCCTTCCCCTTCCCCTTCCCCCACCGCCCCCAGGCGCCCCTCTCACCAGCTGGCGCAGCAGGAAGGCGGAGAGGATGCGCTGGGCGGATTCCGCCACTATCAGCACCGCCACCAGCGTCAGCCGCCACCTAAACGGCCACATAATCACCGCCCAGTACCGCCCCGCCCATCCCCCTCCCCCTCCCCCTCCCCCTCCCCCTCCACTTCCCTTCCCCGCGCCCGTTTCCCCACTCCGCTGCTGCCCGGGGGGAGGATTGCGCTTTGCCCAGAGCGCGCTGAGCTTCGCCCCCAGGTGCTGCGCGGAGAAGGCGGACGGCAGGGGGTAGAGGTCGCTGGGGCCTAGCACCTGGCGCACGCCTTGCGCCATAAGGGGGGAGAGCTGGGGGCGGGGAGGAGGGAGGGGGAGGAAGGCGCGGGGGAGGAGGGGAGTGGGGAGAAGGGGAGGGGGTGAAGGAAAAGGGGTTGGATAAGAGGGATGGGAAATGAATCAAGGGGACAGAATAACGAGTGATGGAACGATTAATGAGGAGGAGGAGGAGGAGGAGGAGGAGGAGGAGGAGGATGAGGAGGAGGAGGAGGAGGAGGAGGAGGAGGAGGAGGAGGAGGAGGAGGAGGAGGAGGAGGAGGAGGAGGAGGTAAAGGGGAGAGGGGGGGGGGGGGGGGGAGGGGGGAGAGCGGGACAGGGGAGGGGGGTAGCGGGAAGAGGGGAAATATTACCCATGAGAAGGTGAGTATGGAGTAGATGCTGAGTGGCGGATCCGCTATCCCCTCTTCCTCCTCGAGCAGATCCAGCGCCGCCATGTCTCCCATCTCTCCCCTCCTACTAGTACCGCCCGTCGGGCAGTTCATACTATCGCCACGCTTATCATCGTCACGCTTATTACCGCCACTCATGCTATCGCCGTTGATAGCACCTGCGTCTGCTCCGTCCGCCAGCATCGGCTCCCCCGCCTCGATCTCCTCCGCACCTTCTCCGCCACCCGCAACCGCCATGCGCGGGGGAGAGAGCGAGCGGACAGGCTCCACATCAAGATGCTCCGCTCGCCCTTGCTCGGATAATGTTGTCCCGGGTAGATTCGACTCAGATAGATTCATCGCCGACGGATCCGTCGCCGGCGGGTTCGATTCCAATGGAGTCGGGAGGAAAATTCTACCCTCGGTTTGATTCAATTCGGCTTCACATGGCGACGGCCCTTCATCGCGTGGAATCTCGTTCGCGATGATATTCATCGCCGGCGACGCACGCAAGCGTCGCCAAGGCCAGGCCACACGCCGCGGGATGGAGATATGTGAATATTACGCAACGGGTCACCGGAACGGGTCACCGCAACGGATATGAGAATAATCCTAAGGATGGCACAGAACGAACCGTATTGATTAATACGAGCACGAATCACGACATCCGGCGCTCGTAACAAAAGCGTTTGCGCGAGCTTCACGTATCGACCACGAAAAATCAACCGCCAGCTAGCTCGCACTGAGACGCTCTCAAAAGTGCGAGTGTTTTTAGTAGTGAGGCGTGAAAGCGTCGCAACTTCCGACGAGAATGGTGGCAATGAGGAGCAGAAGATACTACGATCATCAGAAACTAGGTGGTCACAATGAAGTTGGACAACTCCCAGAAACTCGCTGAGCCTTGCTGAACCGCTGTATAACAACAATAAACCGCAGTACATGTAGATCGCTTTCTCACCTTGCAGGCAGACAAGATCACCCCGGAATACACCGACTAGGTTTGCATGGTTCGGGTGACTAGTACTTCATTACAGGATCGAACAAAAACGGAGCGCACCACGCAACCAATCAGCTGCGAGAAAAAATGGTGGGTGGTGGAGGTGATGGCTTCCGCTTGCCTTCGCCGGGTTTCTCCCCCGAGTTCGTCTCCGCGCTTCTGTTCGCGCGCGTGCTGCTATAGTGGAGCTGTCCCGTAGAAACCCAGCCGCAACCACCTTGGCGGGAGGAAAAGGGGGAACGCTTCAAACTGACCCCCCCACACCACACCAGCCTTGCTCGCGGCGCGCCCCTTGCGGCCTTGAGGGGCTGGTAGCCTGGTACCAGGGCTGTCGATTGGTTTGGAGCCAGAACTTGAGAGGCTGAGGTGCCCCAAAAGTTGCCCTGAAATTTCCGGGCTGAGAGCAAACCTGGCACTTGAAATCAGGGCTACCAACTTTTTTGCACTTCGCCAGGGATACCGTATCCTAGGCAAACTACTAAGAGCCAACTAGGCAATAGGCTGAGGTACGAAACATGTCGATGGATTTGAGGGGGATGGGAGAAGGAAGTAGGGGAGTGGCTGGGAGGAGGTGGGGGGACTGGTGAGCGAATGGGAGGGAGGGAGGTATTAGTATGGGACGATAAGGGCTAGCCGCGGGATCTGCACTTGAAATCCGGGTTAGGCCCACAACCAGCACTTTGCGGGAAAGAGCTGCCCTCGAAGCCAACCCTTAAAATTCGGAAGCTGGGCCAAACCCAACCCTTAATGTTCAGGAAATTAAGGGCATTTGCCCTTGAATCGTCAGCCCTGCCTGGTACATGAGTGAAGAGTCGTGGGCCGAGAAGCAAGCGCCACGTGACTTGTGATGATTGGCGTTTGAAACTTGCTTGGTGGAAGTTGAGGTTGACGTCAGCCCAGAGGTTTCTTCGCCGAACACGAAGGAACTTTCTCCAACAGCTCAGCCAGGCACACGCCACCACGCCATCACGCCATCACGCCACGCCCTGGAGTCATTCGCGCTACAGGCCGAAGCAAGAAGCGTAAGAACCTCAACCCTATCGGAACAGCGTAGCACGTTGAGAGTCACACTATCTTAACATGCTCTCACATATATACTCATCTTCACAAGTGGATATTCTGAAACCTGTTCTCAGCCGCTCGATATCAGACGAGAACGAAGACTTCGGTGTTCCCATGAAAACATCAGCCAGCGCACAGACGGCCTTGTCAAGTGTCGCCCGAAGCAACGCCTGGTTCTGAAACCGAAACGGTTGAAGCACTTTCGCCCAAGGCTGCCCTGTCAGCTCCTCCGGCAGTTGCACGATCTCCACCCCGGGCAGATGGCTCCTAATCACTCGTTCCAGCTGCCCCACCTCTTGCTCATCGGCATCCGTTGCAAGGAACACCGTGGAAATATTCCCGGATCTCACCATCCTCTCCACAATGCATCTCCCAGCGTTCTTCACAGTGAGAAACGCCAGAATCTTTTGATACAGCAGCAGCAGATCCCCCCTCCGCCAGTGCACAGCCAGGTACCGCTGCGGCTGCCTCTGCTCCCCCCCACTGCCCATCATCTCACTGCTCACACTGCCCTGCTGCTGTCTTGCGCCAGCCTCTGCAGCACTGTTCTGGCCTGCTGCAGCGACAGCAGCGGTGAAAGGCATTGCGGAGGCATCGGCTGCTGGTGTAATGCCCTCTGGTATTGGGACGACAGGCGAAACGGCAGTGGAGGAAGAGGAGGGAGGCGAAGACGAGGAGGAGGAAAAGGAAGGAGAGGGAGATGACGAGGTGGAGGACGAGGACAGGGAAGAGGAAGAGGAGGTGATTGGAGATTTCCAGATGACCTGCTGCACGAATCCCAAGGCTGCTTCCAGCACTGCCGGGTGCGGCTGCACTGCAAGACGATTCGCACACTCACCACCCCTTGATCCACCACCACTACCACCACCACTACCCCCAAACGGCAGCCCCACGCTCTTCGAGAGGTTTCCGTAAAGGTTCCACTGGTAGGAGTCTCCAAACAGCACAACGTCAGCAGACGGCAGGAGGGAGCTTTCCAGGGCACGAAGATCCGAGAGAGAGAACATGTGGGAGAGAGGCATGTTGAGGGTAGTCCACGTCATGTTGTGGTATACCACGCCCTCTAGCTCGGGAAGCACGGAAGGCTTGCTCGCCCATGGCTGCATGTAGCATGCCACGTATGGACACAGTACCTGTTGCACCATCACTGCACCTTCCTCCTCACTCCCCTCCTCTTCCGTCTCCTGAGGCGCCTCAGAAACAGCAGCAGACTCTCCTGCAGACCCTGCCTCCTCTCTCCCGCCGCCTCCAGCACCTCCTTTCCCTCGTCGCGCCGCTGCTGCACTCATACTGCCCCCATTCACCGCTGCCCCCCGAACCTCCTCCCGAAGCTGCTGGAGCGGGATGGCAGAGCGGGGCCCGTAGCAGCGGTGCAGGTGTGGCAGGTGCAGGAAGGTGCGGCGGTCGTAGAAGCGGGAAACTTCATCGGGCTTTAAGGGCACCACGAGGGTACGATTGAGCATGCCTGCTAGCAGCAGATGCCGCCGAATGCACCCTATGCGGTTGCTCGCCTGGAGGAGGTGAGGGAAGGGGGCACGGATGTGAGCGTTGGTGGGTGTGGGTGTGGACATGGGCGTTGGTGTGGGTGTGGGTTGGAACAGGTGTCATCAATTGCAGCCATGTAATTGGTCAGAAATCAGAAGGATTGAAGGGAGAAACGGCCGCCTGGCAACATCAAAGCTACCACACCCATCCAGCCCCATCTAACCTCACACAGCCCCACTCAATCCCGCCCACACCCAGTCCGATCCCACTCAACCGCATCCAGCCCCACCTGGCTCCTCTGGCAATCCATGAGAATGTACTTCCCGGGCTGAGGCACCCACGCAAGGGAACCTTCCTGGAAGGCGCTCTCCCAGAGCCACTTGCGGAAAAGCTTGGGGTGGTCGTTGCAGCGGCCCTGCGCCTTGAGCGCCCTGAGCTGCTGCTTCTTCTGCTCGAAGGATATGGCATAGCCCCTGGGGAAATCATGGTGGGGAGAGTGGCAGTACGGTTGGGATTCAGGAGGTTGTTTCTTGTTGCAGGAGTGGGGATGGGGGTAAGGCCCTTACTACAATAGGGGTGCCACGTCACGTCACCACAGAAAAGCCAGCTCTGTACCGAACCGAACCCTCAAGGAATCACAGCAGCCGCTACCCACTCCCCATCATCTTACCGAACCTTATTCAAACGCCTCAAATTCTTCGCATGAGCACAAAGGTTTGTTCTTCCACTGAGGACTCCTCACTTACCATTCTTTCTGAATTTCGGGTGTATCATCTGTTCCCTCCCCTTCCCCACCTCCCACTCCGCCCGTTAGTACCATTTCCCCGCCACCTCTTTCCCTTCCTACTGCTCGCCCCCTCTTTCCCGCCACTCCAGAAATCCTCCCCCCCTCGACTTGAAGTTCCGCTTCCATCTCCCCCACGCGCCCGACCGTCTCCTCTACCGGGGATTCAGAGTCGCGCTCCGCCTCTCTCTGCGGATCTCTGCTGCCATCCGCGGCGAGCGGAGGATGCGCCGCTGCGCTTTCCGCGTGGTGCGCCAACAGGGAAAAGAGCACGCTCTCCGCCAGGAGCCATAGCGCCAACGCGAGCACTCCGCGGCGGTTTCCGCGACCCCGCATCGGGCGCGGCATTTTTCTTCCGCGCATCCCGCGCTCGGCGTGCGTTGGCTAACCGTGTTCCCAGCCGCGTCTCGTGCAGCATATACAGCTCTCGTTGTTCAAATACTGCTGTCGTTGCTCAACAACTGCTGTCGCTGCTCAAATACTAATGCTGTCAGACACTGGCGACATGAGTCTGAAAAGGAAGTGGCGAGGCGACACAGATGCTTGCACTGCTCAAGTGCGTTTTTCATGCTCACAGTGTACTGTAGGCGGTTGTTTGTTGTGACACAAGTCGCGGACACTCCCACCGCATTCGCGCGACCGATCCGCCACAGGATCAGGTTTTTAAAGGGTCAGAAACGTTTGAGGTTGGAATAGCAGGTTTTCAGTGCGGTGGCGGATCGATATTGCTCACTTGATTGCGGGAATCGAGTGCATGTCCTCTCCTCTTGCTTGAATTGCAATGCGAGGCAGCCAGAAAGCAAGTCGGCCGGCGCTCAACTGCAGCCGCTCCAACAGCGTCTATATTCGGTGCTCCTTTACAAACACAGCAGTATGTATACACCTGTTGCTGAAAACAGTCTCTCTACCTCTGGTAAAATGTGCGCTTCAATGGTGAAAGTTCACTGTCTGCCTAACGGGCACCAATGCGACTATAAGGACGTGTTGCACAAACCGGTGCACTGCATCGGTTCGGGACGGGACGGGGATTTCGGAAGGCTCTAGGCAAGCGCAACTTTTGGAAGACCATGCTCGGTGGAGCCCTAAGACCTCGTCTTTCGTCTTTCGAGTCGACTCGAAATAGGTCTTTCGTTCGTGGCTGTACAGTGTCGTGTCGCCTGACCGACTACTGTAGTATGCCCAGCCTAGACTTCGCCGGAGGACCCCACCCAGCTTGGTTCTCTCACTAAATCTTGCTAGGTTTTCAATTGGTGTACACTGTACCATACTACAAGACCCATGCCTCCCGTCCTGAGGTTGTTCGCGCTAAAGGCCGCAGCAAGAAGAGTAAAAACATCAGCCCTCTTCTTCAATGCAAGCGTACACGTTGATGAAAGTCATACTATCCTAGCATGCTTTCACATATGTACTCATCTTCGCATGTAGATATTCTGAACCCTGTTCTCAGCCTCACAATATCAGTCGAAAACGAAGACTTAGGCGTTCCCATAAAAACATCAGCCAGCACACAGACAGCCTTGTCAAGGCTCGCCCGGAGCAACGCCTGGTTCTGAAACCGAAACGGATCAAGCACCTTCGCCCAAGGTTGTCCGGTCAGCTCCTCGGGCAGTTGCACAATTTCCACCCCGGGCAGATAACCGTGGACGACTCCTTTCAGCTGCCCCACCTCTTCCTCATCGGCATCCGTTGCAAGGAACACCGTGGAAATATTCCCCGACCTCACCATCCTCTCCGCAATGCATCTCCCAGTGTTCTCCACCGTAAGAAACGCCAGAATCTTTTGATACAGCAGCAGCAGATCCCCCCTCCGCCAGTGCACAGCCAGGTACCGCTGCGGCTGCCTCTGTTCCCTCACACTGCCCTGCTGCTGAGTTGCTCCAGCCTCTGCCGCACTGTTCTTGCTAGGCCCAGCTGCAGCGACAGCAGCGGTGAAAGGCACTGCAGAGGCATCGGCTGCTGCTGTGATGCCCTCTGGCAATGCAGCATCAGGCGATTTCCAGATGACCTGCTGCACGAATCCCAAGGCTGCTTCCAGCACTGCTGGGTGCGGCTGCACTGCAAGCCGATTCGCACACTCACCACCCTTTGATTCACCACCACTACCACTATCACTACTCCCAAACGGCAGCCCCACACTCTTTGAGATGTTTCCCTGAAGGTTCCACTGGTACGAGTCCCCAAACAGCACAACGTCAGCAGACGGCAGCAGCGAACTTCCCAAGGAGCGAAGATCCGAGAGAGTGAATAAGTGAGAAAGAGGCATGTTGAGAGCAGTCCATGTCATGTTGTGGTATATCACGCCCTCTAGCTCCGGGAGCAAGGAAGGCTTGTTCGTCCATGGCTGCATGTAGCATGCCTCATATGGACACAGTACCTGTTGCACCATCACTGCACCTTCCATCTCACTCCCCTCGTCTTCCGGCTCCTGAGGCGCCTCAGAAACAGCAGCAGACTCTCCTGCAGACTCTGCCTCCTCTCCCCCACCACCTCCCGCCTCCCCTTTCCCTTGTCCCGCTGCTGCGCTCTTACTGCTTCCGCTCACCACTGCCCCCCGAACCTCCTCCCGAAGCTGGTGGAGCGGGATGGCGGAGCGGGGCCCGTAGCAGCTGTGCAGGTGCGGCAGATGCAGGAAGGTGCGGCGGTCGTAGAAGCGGGCGACCTCGTCGGGCTTTAAGGGCATCACGAGCGTGCGATTGAGCATGCCTGCCAGGAGCAGATGCCGCCGAATGCACCCTATGCGGTTGCTCACCTGAACGAAGTGAGGAAGCAGGGCATAGGTGTGGGTGTGGACGTGTGCGTTGGTGTGGGTGTGGGTGGTTGAGAGTGTAGATGTAAACGAAGGGAACAAGAATAATGAGGTAATAGTTAATGGTAAGGCCCATGGGGGCAGGGGGACAGGTTGGATCAGGTGGCATCAACTGCAGCCCGTATAGTTGGTCAGGACTCATGATGAAGAAAGGGGTGTGGGAAGCAGGAGAGGGAGAAGAGGGAAATGGGAGGATTGACGGAGGAGGCGAGAGTAGGGCGACATCAAAGCAACCCCATCCAACCGCATTTAACTCCACCCAGCCCCATCCAGCCCCACGCAGCCCCACTCAATCCCACCCACACCCAGTCCAGCCCCACTCAACCGCATCCAGCCCACCTGGCTCCTCTGGCAATCCATGAGAATGTACTTCCCAGGCTGTGGCACCCACGCAAGGGAACCTTCCTGGAAGGCGCTCTCCCACAGCCACGTGCGGAAGAGCTTGGGGTGGGCGTTGCAGCGGCTCTGTGCCTTGAGATTCTTAAGCTGCTGCTGCTTCTCCTTGAAGGATACGGCATAGCCCCTGGAGGGATGGTGGGAAGAGTAGTGGGTGCGGGTGTGGGAGTGGTGTTTGAGTCGACTCAGAGAGCACCTTGAGCGACTTGAGCTGCTGCTGCTTCTCCTTGAAGGATATGGCATAGCCCCTGGGATGATGGTGGGGAGCGTGGGAGAGGGAGCGGGTGTGGGTGTGGGCAAGAGAGTGGGTGTGGAAGCAGGCGTGGGAGTGGGCAGGGGAGTGGTATTAAAGTGGACTCAGAGTGTGCCTTGAGCGTCTTGAGCTGCTGCTGCTTGTGCTCATCGTAGGATTTAGGGTTGGCCTTGGCATGGTGGTGGGGAGCGTGGGAGTGGGAGTGAGAGTGGGTGTGGGAAGGGGAACGGGGGTGAGTGTGGGAGCGGGCAAGAGAGTGGTATTGGAGGTGATTCAGAGTGTGCCATGAGCAACCTGCGCTGCTGCTGTTAACGCTCGAAGGATACGGCATCGCCCCTGTAAAGATGGTTGGGAGCGTGGGAGTAGGCGTGGGCGTGGGAGTGCCAAGCACCACTCTACAGTAGGCCACATAGCTACCTCACCTGCGACAGGTACCCTTACCATTCCTGCCGAATCTCGGTTGATTCATCTGTTGCCTTCCCTTCCCCTCCTCTCGCTCCGCCCCTCGTTGACATTCCGCCACCCCTCTCCCCCCCAACTGCTCGCCCCAACCCCCCTCTTTCCTCCAATCCAGAAATCCCCCCCTCGAGCTCCGCTTCCATCTCCCCCACTCGCCCGACCGTCTCCCCCTCGCCTTCCGCCCATGCCTGCGGATCCCTCCCGCCTACCCCACCCTTCCCCGCCCTCGGAGCGCTGAGCGCAAGATGCGCCGCTGCGCTCTCCGCGGGTTGCGCCAAGAGGAGAAAGAGCCCGCTTTCCGCCAGGAGCCAGAACGCCCATGCTCCTCCGCGGTTTCCTCGTCTCCGCATTGAGCGCAGCACTTCTCTTCCGCACATCCCGCACCGCCGCGCGTTGGCCATCCGCTCCCTCACCCGCATCCGCAGTTTTTGTTTCTCCTGAGTGAGGGCCCAAAAAGTTTTCTGGTGTCGGAATCGTCAGACTGCCTGTAACGCGACGCGGCTTCCACGATCTTCCTGGTTTCGTGCATTCAGCAACTCAGCCAATTCAATTCTTGTACGCACGCAGCACGCTGGTAGTTGGGTAGTTCGCTACTTGTTTATTTGTTTGCCCTAGGCGACAGTCTCGCAAACACTAGTTGGCGAACCCCGAGTTCAGTGCAAACACTGCTTTTGACCCCACCCCAAAACACACACCGTACAAAGTCATTTGTTAACGAATTTAAATCTGACCGCGGGTTGTCGGAATCTTTATACATCTGATAAACTGAAAATTGCTGGAAATCAGAAAGTCCAACCATTAACTAAATAAAATTATATATATATATGTAGTAAGCAAACACAAACAAGATTCGACGTTAACGTCGGAAGGGTTGCGTAGGACTTATATTTTTCGTGCTAGCTTGATACTATATTATACTTATGGTATATCGAGAAAACAACGAACTATGCATCTTTATAACATGCTTGTAAGTTCTTCATTTTGTGATTCCTCATGGTAATTCTTTCTTACCATTGATTGTTGTTAATGGAAAATATTTAGAGAACATAACTTAATTTGTTTCACTAAGCAATATTGTTTTCTAGTGAGTTTGTGTATTTGCAGCCAAATCTTATGTGTCAAAACAGCTAAAAATAATCATCTACAAAATTCTTGATTTTGACGAGTATAACGGAACTGATGTGAAAACTGGTTCGTGCCTCGTTGGCAGAAAATTTTCTTGCCAGCGCTACACAAACCCAACCCAACCAAACCCTTCCTTTCCCTGTCAACTCTGCTCCCTTGGGAGTCCCGTTTCTTGAATTCAAGCACCTACTCGCCTCTGATCTCCCCTTATCTTCCCACCCCAAGTACCTTCCCAACCCCGTCGCCATTCCCTTACCAATTGCGTTTTTAGAACCATCTTGCCGTCACCTCTCCCTCACTCCCCGTCGTCGCCTCTCTTCACCCCCCACCGTCGCCTCTCCCTCCCTCCCCGCCGTCGCTCTCCCTTCCTCCTCCTCGTCGCCGCTCCCTCCTTTCCCGCCGTCGCCTTTGATGGGTTGCTGCACGACCACGCGTTGCTTTCTTATGCACGGTGTCTCAGGTGCGTTTCCTTCTCTCTCCGAAATGTCATATTTTTTCCACTTTCCTCGTAAGTTCTCAATGCCGATTGGTCTCTTCTTAGCATTGTGCCTCCATTTTAAGAAGGGGAGAGAGGGAGTGTGAGGGAGTGTGTGTAAACAGGAGCGAGCACGCAGGCGCATAGCGCGCTGGCGCCTAACAGGCTGGCGCCAAACGCGCTGGCGCCTAGCGCGCTGGCGCCTAACGCGCAGGCGCCTAGGGCGCTGGCGCCTAACGCGCTAGCGCGTAGCGCGCCAGCGCTTGCTGCGCTGGAGATTGCTGCGCTGGCGTTTGCTGCGCTGGCGCCTAGCGCGCTGGCAGCGCGCTGGCACCCTTGTAGCTGTCAGAACTATATTGTAGGCTATAGTGGGGCACTCCTTATGGGGTACAGTATTACTAGGTTTTGCCAATACAAGCCTTGTACTGTCATGTTTCTAGTCATTCCTCCTTCTATCTTTCAAATGGTTTCAGAGCAGGTTCCCTAGTGGGAACGTTTTTTAAGGGCCCACCACGATTTTTTTCCCGCCCTGCCCGAAGCGCGCTGCCGAGCTTCCCTGCCCTGTCGCGCGCCTCGCGCCTGCCTCACCTGCGCCCTTGCACCTGCCCTGCTGTGCGCCGTCGAGCGCCTGCCCTACCCGCGCCATCGAGCGCCTGCCCTTGCTGCGGCCGCCGTCGCGCGCCTGCCCTACACGCCGTCGAGCGCCTGCCCTGCCTGCCGCCCGTCGAGCGCCTGCCCTGCCTGCCGCCCGTCGGGGCCCTGACCTCGCCGCCCGTCGCGGCCCTGCCCTGCTGGCGCCCCGTCGCGGCCCTGCTCTGCCGCCGCCTCGTCGCGGCCCTGCCCTACGGCCGCCCCGTTGCGGCCCTCACCTAACCGCCCATCACGGCCCTGCCCTGCACCCGCCCCTGGTAAGCGCTCCTGCTGCCCGTCGCGTCGCGCGCCCTTGCTGCCCGCCGCGCCGTGCGCCCCTGCAGCCCATCCCGTCGCGCGCCCCTGCAGCCCGTCGCGTCGCCCGTCAGCCCTGCCCGTGCCCGTCGCGTCGCCAGAGCGGGCTGCCCCAGCCCGCCGCGACGCTCGTCTGCCCTGCCTGCCTGCGCGCCGCCACTGCCCGCCCCGCGTCACGCCACCTCGTGCAAGCCGCCCGCACGCAGACCATTGCAGCCCGCGCGCCGCCCGTCTGCAGCCCGCGAGCCTCCCCTGTAGCCCGCGAACCGCCCCTGCAGCCAGCGCGCCTGCCTCTTGCAGCCAGCGCCCTGCCCCTGCAGCCCGCGAGCCACCCCTGCAGCCCGCGAGCCGCCTCTGCAGCGCCCAGTGCGCCATGCCAAACCCTAAAATAAATAAATAATTATAAAAAAAAAAAGCCCTAGGTGCTGTTGCCCTAGGAGCTACTGCTTGCTGCTGCCTACTACTGCCCTTTGGCCGCGCGCCGCCTATTCCTGACAGTGCGCCGCCTCGACCTACCCTAGTGCCTGTTCGCCGCCCTGCCTTTCTACAATGACATCTCTTCGTGGTAGCAGTGGGAGCGGTGGCGGCGGTGGTGGCAGTCTAGGCGGAGGTGCTCGGTGGGGAGTTTCTGGCGGTGGCCAGATACAGCTCCAGCGACGTCCGCGCGAGTCCCTCACGCCCCAGCAGCTTCGTGAGTGGTACGCTAGTTGGGGTTGTGGCGGCCGCCGTAGTGGCTGTCGCCCTGGAGCTGGTGAGTCGGGAGCGTCTGGCGGTGGCCAGATGCAGCTGCAGCGGCGTCCGCGCGAGACACTTACGCCCCAGCAGCTTCGTGAGTGGTACGCTCAGAGTAGAGGGTCTCGGAGTACCGTTCGCTGCCCGTACGTCATTCGCACAGGTGATCGGGCTGGTCAGGCCTGCGGGACGGTTGGTCACACACAGTCCCGCTGCTTCGCCCGTCTGAGCGACGCCTGGCGTACCGAGTTTGGCGACGAGGCTGAGCTCCCCGACTGGGTGGAGCTGCTTAGGCAGTGGGTGGATATCTTCGCTCTTGACTATGATGCTATCCTCACTGCCATGTATGCACTGCCTACTAGTACTGAGGGTGCCTGTTACCTGTGCGTACCGCCTGACCCAGGTATAGAGCCTGCTGCTCTAGGTGCTGGTGAGGCTGCTGCTCTCGGTGCTAGTGCGTCTCCTGCTCGAGGTACTGGTGTGGCTGCTGCCCTAGGTGCTAGTGAGTCTGCTGCTCCAGGTACTGGTGAGGCTGCTCTCTCAGGTACCGTGTCGGCTCAGGTCGTGCACACTTTCACCCTTGACTCAGGTGCTTCCCGCTCCTTCTTTCGCGACTGCACCACACTCTCGCCGCTCAGTCGGCCGGTGGCAGTCTCTCTGGCTGACCCCTCTGGGGGTCCGGTCCATGCCCACTCCTCCACGGTTCTGCCGTTCCGGCGGTCCCGTCTGGCTCACTGTCTGGCCTCCACCTCCCCTCAATCTCCACGAACTTGGTGAGTGGAGCTGACCTTCAGGACGCGTGGGTTGACCAGTTCACTCCTGGAGGTCAGCGGGTGACCCACTGTTCGTGTGCTCGGACGGGCCGGCACCTGGCCACGTTCACCCGTCAGCCTGGGTCGAGCCTGTACACCCTGACTACCGTGTCTCCTCCGGTTGCTGAGTCTGGTCAGGTAGCTGCGTCGGGTCAGCTGTTTGCTGCAGCGTCCGGGTCTGGTCCTGAGTCTGCCCCCTGCTCGTGTCGCCTCCTGTCTCACCAAACTCTCCTCTGGCACCACCGCCTTGGTCACCCCTCCCTGCCTCGTCTTCGAGGCATGGCCTCCCGTGTCCTTGTCACTGGTCTTCCCCGGTCTCTCCCTCCCCTCCCCCCGGGGCCTGCCCCTACCTGCGTTCCTTGCGTCGAGGGGCGGCAGCGCGCCGCTCCTCACTCCTTCGAGTTTCCTCCGACAGAGGCTCCGCTGCAGACTCTCCACATGGACGTGTGGGGCCCAGCCCGCGTCCGTGGACAGGGTCACGAGCGTTACTTCTTGCTGGTTGTTGATGACTACTCGCATAACACCACAGTCTTCCCCTTGCGCCGCAAGAGTGAGGTCACTGAGGTGTTGATCGACTGGATCCGCGCTGCCCGTCTCCAGCTTAGAGAGAGTTTCGGCTCGGACTTTCCTGTTCTGCGTCTGCGCTCCAACAGAGGTGGAGAGTTTTCCTCCGACCTTCTGCGAGCCTTCTGTCGTGCGGAGGGCATCCGCCAGACGTTCACGCTTCCGGCCTCTCCACAGAAAAATGGGATTGCTGAGCGCCGCATTGGCATGGTCATGGACGTCGCTCGTACATCCATGATCCATGCGGCTGCTCCCCATTTTCTGTGGCCGTTCGCGGTTCAGTACGCGGCGCATCAGCTCAACCTCCAGCCCCGGGTCTCCATGCCGGAGACCTCCCTTACTCTGCGGTGGACGGGGAAGGTTTGCGATGCGTCTGCGTTCCGTGTGTGGGGATCTCGAGCTTTCGTCCGCGACTTTTCTGCGGACAAGCTGTCCTCCCGTGCTGTTCCCTGCGTCTTCCTTGACTTACCCCCTGACGCGCCTGGTTGGCAGTTTTACCACCCCACCTCGCGCCGTGTTCTGTCCTCTCAGGACGTCACGTTTGACGAGTCGGTTCCTTACTACCGTCTCTTCCCCTACCGCACTGCCCCCCTCCCCCCCCCGCCGCTCTTCCTCGCGCCAGGTCCTCCCCCGGTAGATCCCCTCCCCCCTCAGGGTCCTGCCCCCTCAGGTGTGTCCCAGGTAGACGCAGTCGAGCCTGTCGAGGTAGCTGTTGACTCTGGTGCTGCTAGGGGTGCTGAGCCTGCGGGTGCCGGGTCTGGGGGTGCTGAGTTTGGGGGTGCTGAGCCAGGGGTTGCTGAGTCTGGGTGTGCGGAGCCTGAGGGTGCTGAGCCTGCGCGTGTGGAGTCTGGAGGTGCTGCGCCTGCGCGTGTGGAGTCTGGAGGTGCTTCGTCCCGGCGGGAGCCACCCTCTCCACAGCAGCTGCGCGAGTGGTTTGCTTGCCGCTGGAGCCGTGCTGCTGGAGCTGGTGGTGCTACGGGCGCTGGAGGTCCTGCTGCTGCTGGAGCTGCTGGGGGTTCTGGAGCCACTGGTCCCGGAGGTGCTCGTACTGGAGGTACTGGAGTTGCTGGGCCTGGTGGTGCTGCTGGGGCTGGAGCTGCTGGAGGTGCTGGAGCTGGCGGTACTACTGGACCCGGTGCAGCTGGAGGTGCTGGCCCTGGCGCTGCTGGGGCTGCTGGGGCTTCTGGTGGTCCTGCTGGAGTTGGAGCTGCTGGAGGTGCTGGGGCTGGAGGTGCTGCTGGAGCCGGTGCTCCTGGGGGTGCTGGAGTTGGCGCTACTGGAGCTGCTGGAGGTGCTGCTGGAGCTGTTGGTGCAGCAGGAGTTGGAGCTGACGCTGGGGGTGCTGGTGCTGTCCCTGCTGGTTCTGGAGGCGCTGCGCGGCCGCGGCCGTACTTCGTTCCGCTCCTTGAGCAGGTTCTTGGTCTCCCGCCTTCTACTGGTCCTGCTCCTTCCGTAGAGTGTCCACAACCTGTCCAGTCCGAGTCACAGTAACAGCCGGCCTCCCCACTGCCTGCTCCTTCTCCTTACACTGGTCCGACAGGAGGTCTTACGGAGTGTCGTGAGCCTGAGTCTCGTCCTGCGTTGCCTGTTCGCGTTGTTCGCACTGGTCGTCGTGCTCCGCGTGAGCGTCCTCCTCCTATCCCTGGCACGCACCAGATGGCTCTGCGTCCTTCCACTGCTCCACAGCGTGTCCCTCTGCCGTCTCCTCCTGCGTCCTCTCTTCCTGTCCTTGCTGACCCGGTGTCTGACTACCTTCGTGCTGCCAGTCCTACTGTCACGCGTCTCCTGGCCACTGTTGTCACTGACCCTTCCTTTGAGTCCACTGCTGCGTCTGCCTTAGTTGCTGAGCTTGTCGACTTTGCTGCTCCCTGTCGTCTAGACTACGCCGCTAGTCTTGTTGCTGAGTCTGAGTCTGTCTGTCCTCCGTCCGTCGGGGGTGAGTGTGCTCTTAGCACGGACGTCCTTGAGGACAGGCAGGAGGAGTTCCAGTGTTTTGCTGCTGCTTTCCCTCATCTCGTGTCCATGCTGCTTGCCCCTGAGGGAGATCCGGATGCACCAGACATCCCGACCCCGCGCTCTTACGCTGAGGCGATAGAGGGTCTCTACTCCTCTCAGTGGCAGACAGCCATGGACGCAGAGATGGCTTCTTGGAAGTCCACAGGCACCTACGTCGACGAGGTTCCCCCACCTGGGGCGAACATTGTCGATGGCATGTGGATTTTCAGGGTGAAGGGGCCGCCGGGTTCTCCGCCTGTCTCCAAGGCGCGTTACGTGGCTAGAGGCTTCAGTCAGCGGCAGGGAGTTGACTAATTTCAGACCTTCTCTCCCACCCCGAAGATGATTACTCTTCGGGTACTGCTGCACGTCGCCGCTTAGTGTGACTACGAGCTGCACTCTCTTGACTTCAGCACAGCCTTCCTACAGGGCAGCCTGCACGAGGAGATCTGGCTGCGCCGCCCACCTAGCTCCACTGGGTCGTTTCCTCCTGGTACCCAGTGGAGCCTCCGGCGGCCAGTCTACGGTCTTCGCCAGGCGCCCCGTGACTAGCACGACAAACTGAGGACTACGCTTGCGGCTCTTGGGTTTGCTCCTTCCACTGGTGACCCGTCGCTGTTTCTCCGCACCGACACTACTCTGTCGCCGTTCTACATCCTCGTGTACGTCGACGACTTGGTCTTTGCTACTGCTGACACTGCTGGACTCGCCCACGTGAAGTCGGAGCTGCAGAAGAGACACACGTGCACAGACCTGGGTGAGCTGCGCAGCTATCTTGGCTTGAAGATCACCCGGGACAGAGCACGTCGCACCATTACCTTGACTCAGTCACACATGGTGCAGCAGGTCCTTCAGCGCTTTGACTTTACGTACTCCTCGCCTCAGGCCACTCCTCTGTCTACTCGCCACTCGCTCTCAGCTCTGCCTTCGGATGAGTCCGTAGAGCCGAGTGGCCCGTACCCAGAGCTTGTTGGCTGCCTCATGTACCTGATGACCTGCACTCGACCTGACCTGACATACCTTCTTAGCATCTTGGCACGCTATGTTGCTCCTGGGAGACACCGACCAGAACACATGGATGCAGCTAAGAGGGTGTTGCGCTACCTGTGCAGTACGTCGGGCATGGGGCTCGTGCTTGGAGGACGGGCTCGAGTTGTCCTCACTGGTCACGCAGACGTTTCTTGGGTTGACGACTTGGCTACGCAGCGGTCGTCACAGGGTTACACCTTCAGCCTTGGTTCCGGCTCTGTTTCGTGGCGGTCTACTCGCTTGTCCTCTGTTCTCAGCTCCAGTTGTGAGGCTGAGATCTACGCTGGGGCCATGGCTGCACTGGAGTTACGCTGGCTCACCTACCTGCTGACCGACTTGGGAGAGGCGCCTCGTTCTCCTCCAGTTCTGTACGTCGACAACAATGCCATGCTGGCCTTGTGTCAGGAGCACAGACTGGAGCACAGAACGAAGCACATTGCTCTGCGCTACTTCCTTGCTCGAGAGTTGCAGCAGCGTGGGCAGCTTCGTCTTGCTTACGTGGCCACTCGGGCCAACACTGCTGATATCTTTACCAAGGCACTTCAGCCTTGTGATCATCAGCGCTTTTGTACTATGCTAGGTCTTGTGCCTACTTGGCCTCACTTGCTCACTTCTTGACTTTGCTTGTACTGTGTTCTATATATACCTGCACCTGCATGCTTACCCTTGCTAGGTTGAGATCACTGTCTTGCTTGTTCACCTTGATATATAACTCTGCATGTGAACTGGCCTTGTGACCTTGTCCTTGTGCTCAGAATGCGTGGTGACGTCGTGATCCACCCTGAGCTTGCCCTTGCCTTGTTCTCTTGCTTGTCCCCCACTTTGCCTATGGGGGTGTGTCAGAACCATATTGTAGCTGTAGTGGGGCACTCCTTATGGGGTACAGTATTGCTAGGTTTTGCCTATACAAACCTTGTACTGTCATGTTTCTAGTCATTCCTCGTTCTATCTTTCACAGTAGCGTGCTGGCGGCTTGTGCGCTGCTGCCTTGTTTGCGGCGCTCGCAAATTCCTGCGGCAGCCTTGTTGCGGTAGTGCGCTGGTAAATTATTGCGCACGCTCACGCGTTGCTGCAGTGAGCTCACGCGTTGCTGCAGTGAGCTCACGCGTTGCTGCAGTGAGCTCACGCGCTGCTGCAGTGAGCTCACGCGCTGCTGCAGTGAGCTCACGCGCTGCTACAGTGAGCTCACGCGCTGCTGCAGTGAGCTCACGCGCTGCTGCAGTGAGCTCACGCGCTGCTGCAGTGAGCTCACGAGCTGCTGCAGTGAGCTCACTGCAGTGAGCTCACGCGTTGCTGCAGTGAGCTCACGCGTTGCTGCAGTGAGCTCACGCGTTGCTGCAGTGAGCTCACGCGTTGCTGCAGTGAGCTCACACCTTGCTGCAGTGAGCTCACGCCTTGCTGCAGTGAGCTCACGCGTTGATGCAGTGAGCTCACGCGTTGCTGCAGTGAGCTCACGCGTTGCTGCAGTGAGCTCACGCGTTGCTGCCGTGAGCTCACGCGTTGCTGCGGTGAGCTCACGCGTTGCTGCGGTGAGCTCACGCGTTGCTGCGGTGAGCTCACGCGTTGCTGCGGTGAGCTCACGTGTTGCTGCGGTGAGCTCACGCGTTGCTGCAGTGAGCTCACGCGTTGCTGCAGTGAGCTCATGCGTTGCTACAGTGAGCTCACGCGTTGCTGCAGTGAGCTCACGCGTTGCTGCAGTGAGCTCACGCGTTGCTGCAGTGAGCTCACGCGTTGCTGCAGTGAGCTCACGCGTTGCTGCAGAGAGCTCTCGCGTTGCTGCAGTGAGCTCACGCGTTGCTGCAGTGAGCTCACGCGTTGCTGCAGTGAGCTCACGCGTTGCTGCAGTGAGCTCACGCGTTGCTGCAGTGAGCTCACGCGTTGCTGCAGTGAGCTCACGCGTTGCTGCAGTGAGCTCACGCGTTGCTGCAATGAGCTCACGCGTTGCTGCAGTGAGCTCACGCGTTGCTGCAGTGAGCTCACGCGTTGCTGCAGTGAGCTCACGCGTTGCTGCAGTGAGCTCACGCGTTGCTGTAGTGAGCTCACGCGTTGCTGCAGTGAGCTCACGCGTTGCTGCAGTGAGCTCTCGCGTTGCTGCAGTGAGCTCACGCGTTGCTGCAGTGAGCTCACGCGTTGCTGCAGTGAGCTCACGCGTTGCTGCAGTGAGCTCACGCGTTGCTGCAGTGAGCTCACGCGTTGCTGCAGTGAGCTCACGCGTTGCTGCAGTGAGCTCACGCGTTGCTGCCGTGTGCTCAGGCCTTGCTACGGCATCCCGGTTTCTCTTCTCAGGTTGCCGGTGCCTTGTTGCAACTCTCTGGCGCATTGTATCATGGCGATGCCCAGCTCGTTGCTCGCTGGAGCCTTGCTGCACACCAGCACGGTGTGTGTGACCTCAGGGGATCTATGTTTCAAACCACGCGTGTGAGTCGTCAAATTCGGTTTCTTTTGTTGCAAGACTTGCATTTCATTCTTGTTTTGTATCAATGTTCATCGGTACTTTCATTTTGTACTTTTTTCAACACATACGTGCTTATCAAGTTCCGTTTCACAATCACGTGCTCTGTCAGACATATATGGCCTAGCCTATGTAGGCTGTAGTGGGGTAGACACTAAGGGGTACAGGTTTCTAGGGTTCCATATTTGTACCCAACTCTGTTCTAGTTCATTCATTCCTTGTTCTTATTTTCACATGGTATTAGAGCAGAATCGTTCCTAGGGCCCACCGAACGTTCCGCCCTGCCCTAACTGAAATATTTTTTTTTAAGCTGCCCCTGCAGCCGCGCTGCCCTTGCAGCCCGCGTGCTCCCCCTGCGACCGTGCTGCCCCTGCAGCCGTGCCTGCCCGTGCAGCCGTGCCTGCCCCTGCAGCCCGTGGGAGCTGCCTCTGCATCAAAGCCTGCCCCTGCAGCCCGTGGGTGCTGCCCCTGCAGCCAGCGCGCTGCCCTGCCGAGCCGCGTGTCGCCCGTGGGCGCTGCCTCTGCCCTGCCGAGCCGCGTGTCGCCCGTGGGCGCTGCCTCTGCGACTCTCGTGTCGCCCCCCGCTGCCCCGTCGCGCTGCCCTGGTAAGCCGCGCGCGACCCCCCGCTGCCCCGTCGCGCTGCCCTGGGGAGCCGCGCGCGACCCCCGCTGTCCCGTCGCGTCGCCCTGGGCAGCCGCGCTCGGCCCCCGCTGCCCCGTCGCGACGCCCTGGGGAGCCGCGCGCGGCCCCCCCGCTGCCCCGTCGCGGCGCCCTGGGGAGCCGTGCGCCGCCCCCCTCGCTGCTGCCCGAGCCACCCTGCAGCCCGCGAGCCGCCTCTGCAGCGACGAGTGCGCCCTGCCAAACCCTAAAATAAATAATTAATTAAAATAAAAAAATAAAAAAAGAGGAGCCCTAGGTGCTACTGCTGCTACTGGTGGTGGCCAGATGCAGCTCCAGCGACGTCCGCGTGAGTCCCTCACGCCCCAGCAGCTTCGTGAGTGGTACGCTAGTTGGGGTTGTAGGGGTGGCCGCGCTGCTACTGCTGCTACTGCTGTTACTGCTACTACTGCTGCTAATGCTGCTACTGCTGCTACTGCGGCTACTACTGCTACTGCTGCTCCTAGCGGTGGCCAGATGCAGCTCCAGCGTCCGCGTGAGTCCCTCACACCCCAGCAGCTTTGTGAGTGGTACGCTAGTTGGGGTTGTCGGGGTGGCCGTAGTGGGAGTCGTCCTGGAGTGAGTAGTTCGGGAGCTTCTTGTAGTGGCCAGGTGCAGCTGCAGCGTCGTCTGCGCGCGGTCCTTTTGCCCCAGCAGCTTCGTGAGTGGTACGCTCAGCGTGGAGGGTCACGGGGTACTACTCGCTGCCCGTACGTCATTCGCACTGGTGCTCGGACTGGTCAGCCTTGCGGGACGTTTGGCCACACAGAGTCCCGCTGCTTCGCCCGTCTGAGCGACGCCTGGCGTACAGAGTTTGGCGACGCGGCTGAGCTCCCCGACTGGGTGGAGCTGCTTGGGCAGAGGTTAGATATCTATGCTCTTGACTATGATGCTATCCTCACTGCCATGTATGCATTGCCTACTAGTGCTGAGGGTGCCTGTTACCTGTGTGTGCCGCCTGACCCCGGTATCCAGTCTGCTGCTCTAGGTACTGGTGAGGCTGCTGCTCTAGGTGCTCGTGCGTCTCCTGCTCCAGGTGTCGGTGAGGCTGCTGCTCTAGGCGCTAGTGAGTCTACTGCTCCAGGTGCTGGTGCGTCTGCTCTCTCTGGTGCTACGCCTGCTGCGGTCTTACACACCTTCACTCTTGACTCAGGGGCCTCCCGCTCCTTCTTTCGAGACCGCACCACACTCACGCCGCTTAGTCGGCCGGTTGCAGTCTCCCTGGCAGACCCCTCTGGGGGTCCTATCCTTGCCCACTACTCCACTGTCCTACCGTGTCCGGCGGCCCCTTCTGGCTCCCTGTCAGGTCTTTACCTCCCCTCGTTCTCTACGAACTTGGTGAGTGGTGCTGACCTACAGGATGCGGGGGTTGACCAGTTCACTCCTGCGAGTCAGCGAGTGACCCACTGCACGTGTGCTCGGACGGGCCGACACTTGGCCACGTTTACCCGTCAGCCGGGGTCGAGCCTGTACACACTGACTACCGAGTCTCCTCCGGTTCCTGCGTCTGGCCAGGTAGCTGCGTCGGGTCAGGTGTTTGCTGCAGCGTCCAGGTCTGGTCCTGAGTCTGCCCCCTGCTCGTGTCGTCTCCTGTCTCACCAGACTCTCCTCCGGCACCACCGCCTTGGTTACCCCTCCCTGCCTCGTCTACGAGGCATGGCCTCCCGTGTCCTTGTCTCTGGTCTCCCCCGGTCCCTCCCTCCCCTTCCCCCGGGGCCTGCCCCTACCTGCGTTCCCTGCGTCGAGGGGCGGCAGCGCGCCGCTCCTCACTCCTCCGAGTTTCCTCCGACAGAGGCTCCACTGCAGACTCTCCACATGGACGTGTGGGGCCCAGCCCGCGTCCGTGGACAGGGTCACGAGCGTTACTTCCTGCTGGTGGTTGACGACTACTCGCGTTACACCACAGTCTTCCCCTTGCGCCGCAAGGGTGAGGTCACTGAGGTGTTGATCGACTGGATCCGCGCTGCCCGTCTCCAGCTCAGAGAGAGTTTCAGCTCGGACTTTCCTGTTCTGCGTCTGCACTCCGACAGGGGTGGAGAGTTTTCCTCCGACCTTCTGCGAGCCTTCTGTTGTGCGGAGGGCATCCGCCAGACGTTCACGCTTCCGGCCTCTCCACAGCAAAATGGGATTGCTGAGCGCCGCGTTGGCATGGTCATGGACGTCGCTCGTACGCCCATGATCCATGCGGCTGCTCCCCATTTTCTGTGGCCATTCGCGGTTCAGTACGCGGCGCATCAGATCAACCTTCAGCCCCGGGTCTCCGTGCCGGAGACCTCCCCTACTCTGCGGTGGACGGGGAAGGTTGGCGATGCGTCTGCGTTCCGTGTCTGGGGATCTCGAGCTTTCGTCCGCGACTTGTCTGCGGACAAGCTATCCTCCCGTGCCGTTCCCTGCGTCTTCCTTGGCTTCCCCCCTGACGCGCCTGGTTGGCAGTTTTACCACCCCACCTCGCGCCGTGTTCTGTCCTCCCAGGACGTCACGTTTGACGAGTCGGTTCCGTACTACCGTCTCTTCCCCTACCGCGCTGCCCCCCTCCCCCCCCCGCCGCTCTTCCTCGCGCCAGGTCCCCCCCCCGGTAGACCCCCTCCCCCCTCAGGGTCCTGCCCCCTCAAGTGTGTCCCAGGTAGACGCAGTCGAGCCTGTCGAGGTAGCTGTTGACTCTGGTGCTGCTAGGGGTGCTGAGCCTGCGGGTGCCGGGTCTGGGGGTGCTGAGCCTGAGCGTGCGGAGCCTGGGGATGCTGGGTCTGGGGGTGCGGAGTCTGGGGGTGCTGAGCCTGGGGTTGCTGAGTCTGGGGGTGCGGAGCCTGAGGATGCTGGGCCTGCTCGTGTGGAGTCTGGCGGTGCTGGGCCTGGAGGTCCTTCGGGTGCTTCGTCCCGGCGGGAGCTACTCTCTCCGCAGGAGCTGCGCGAGTGGTTTGCTCGGCGCTGGAGCCGTGCTGCTGGAGCTGGTGGTACTGCCGGTGCTGGAGGTTCTACTGCTGCTGGGGGTGCTGGAGCCACGGGTCCCGGAGGTGCTCGTACTGGAGGTACTGGAGCTGCTGGGCCTGGTGGTGCTACTGGTGCTGGAGCTGCTGGCGGAGGTGGAGCTGGCGGTGCTGCTGGAGTTGGTGCTGCTGGAGGTACTGGAGCCGGAGCTGCTGCGTCTTCCGGTGGTCCTGCTGGAGCTGGAGCTACTGGAGGTACTGGAGCTGGAGGTGCTGCTGGAGCTGGTGCTCCTGTGGGTGCTGGAGTTGGCGCTACTGGAGCTGCTGGAGGTGCTGCGGGAGCTGGTGGAGCTACTGGGGTCGGAGCTGCCGCTGGGGGTGCTGGTGCTGTCCCTGCTGGTTCTGGAGGTGCTGCGCGACCACGGCCGTACTTCGTTCCGCTCCTTGAGCAGGTTCTTGGTCTTCCGCCTTCTTCTGGTCCTACTCCTTCCTTAGAGTGTCCACCACCTGTCCAGTCCGAGTCACAGTTACAGCTGGCCTCCCCACTGCCTGCTCCTTCTCCCTACACTGGTCCTACTGGAGGTCTTGCTGAGCGTCGTGAGCCTGAGTCGCGTCCTGCGTCGCCTGTTCGTGCTGCTCGCACTGGTCGTCGTGTTCCACGTCAGCGTCCTCCTGCGGTCCCGGGCACGCACCAGATGGCACTGCGTCCTTCCACTGCTCCACAGCGTGTCCCTTTGCCGTCTCCTCCAGAGTCCTCTCTTCCTGCTCTTGCTGACCCGGAGTCTGACTCCCTTCGTGCTGCCAGTCCTACTGTCACGCGTCTTCTGGCTACTGTGGTCACTGACCCTTCCTTTGAGTCCACTGCTGCGTCTGCCTTAGTTGCTGAGCTTGTCGACTTCGCTGCTCACTGTCGTCTAGACTACGCCGCTAGTCTTGTTGCTGAGTCTGAGTCTGTCTGTCCTCCGTCCGTCGGGGGTGAGTGTGCTCTTAGCATGGACGTCCTTGAGGACAGGCAGGAGGAGTTCCAGTGCTTTGCTGCTGCTTTACCTCATCTCGTGTCCATGCTAGTTGCCCCTGAGGGAGACCCGGATGCACCAGACATCCCGACCCCGCGCTCTTACGCAGAGGCGATAGAGGGTCCCTACTCCTCTCAGTGGCAGTCAGCCATGGACGCAGAGATGGCTTCCTAGAAGTCCAGAGGCACCTACGTCGACGAGGTTCCCCCACCTGGGGCGAACATCGTCAGTGGCATGTGGATTTTCATAGTGAAGCGGCCGCCGGGTTCT